TGAATAATTGTACCCCTGAGATACTATGATACTAACCAAACGCCTTGCACCACACCCCATATGTTGTTCTCTAGCACGATAGAACGAAAATACAAATACATAGTAGCCGTCGCCCCGGCTACTTCCAGCCTTCGCTGTACTGTGATTCGTGCCAGCGAAGCCCGCATTGATCCCATACTCCAATGAACGCCCATGCGCGGTACCAGGGTGGGTTACCTAATAATCAAGACGATGCCCTCTCACCAACGCTACCGTTGACTGTAGGAGCCGGGGTTGGGTCAACATCTTCAGCCGGGCCGGTATCATCCATCCAAGCCGAAAACTCATCGTCGTCATCATCGGGCGCTGGAATCTCTGGCGATAATGCTTTCGCATTTTCGTGCCCTTCCTGGCTTGTAGTCTTCGAAATACGGATTGATGGCGTCAAAGGCTTGGGGGGCGATTCCGAACCGATAGCTTCTTCTTTCGCAGAACTACCGGCTTCATCTTGGCCATTGGTTTCATCAATGCTTGATGAAGGCTTCGAAGATGATGTGTCATGTGCCTCGCTCATAGGTGTAGTCGGTTCTGATTCCGCAGGAGCCGCGACAACAAGCATATTCACATTAATTCCGTCATCGTCGAGTTGCTGCTCGGCGCGGTATTGGCGACGCTTTGGAAGAGGGGGAGGTGGTACAGGGCGGCGCTCAGGTTTGTGATCATGACCTTCAGGCGTGCTCGGTTTGGGTTGCTGTAATGAATGATCTGGAGGCGGTATCGGTTTGCGCCTTGGAATACTGATGGATGTGTTCTTCGACCTTCTGTCTGGCATCGGAAGTGGTGTTCCTGGGGGCGGAAGAGGCTGCCCACGTCCCATAGGCTGATTCAAGTCCAGCACCGATGGATGATCATCGGTGAAAGAAGCACTCCTGCCCGGTGTGCCATCGTTGTTCGAGTGTCGTTGGAGCGCATTGAGCCCCCAACGCTTGGCAGATGCAGCTGCGTTGGTAACGAAAGCGGCGGCCAGGGCAGTCTTTTTAGCGGAGTCTGGGCGATTTGGCGTGGCTGCTCCTGCTGTCGATGATACAGTATCTCGCCGGGCAAAAATACCCTTGATGGTCCCAGTTTGACTCTTCACAGACCCCCTTATCGACGAGGCTGGAGACCTCGGCCTGCTTTCCTCCTGGCTGCCTGCGGATGTGGCTGTGTTCCGTCTAACCTGGTTCCTCTTATCAAAATCCTGCAAATCTTTCTCCGCATCCGTAGCTTCAGAAGCAGATGACCCGGAAGACTGGTCTGATGACTTGGATGTGACGGACGGCCTCAGGGGCGAGTGAGGTGGCTGTGGTCGTGATGGAGAATGCGCCTGAACAGACAACGTTGCCATCGCTGACGCAGCAGGGCTTTCGTCCGGTGGTGACGCGGATGGTTTGAAGACGTCAGCATTAATGGCATCTGTGCTAACCGTTGGCGTCGGAGGATGAGTGATTGAAACCACCCGGATCGGAGGCGGTATACAGGTTTCACTCCTCGTCTCGGTCTTGAGCTCGTTTTTATGGTCCGTGCTCAGTGAGGTCGTAGATGCAGAATAGATAGGGTCCCCTTTACCCTTCGTTGTCATCCGTCCAAAAAGGCTAATTGACGGTTTCTTGTCGAGAGTAGGCATGCTGTGGCTCTTTTCGACTTGCGGCACATCGGGTTCGTGAACGTCCTGGGTACCCTCCAATCGCTCCACCTCGTCCAAATCGCCTTCTTGCGCTGCAGCTGTTTCCAAATCCATGGTTGATACGACTGTGTCATCATGAAAGATACCACCTCTCCACTTCTTGTGCTCTGTGTTGAAGAAAGGCATATCATCCCAGAAGGGTAAGACAAGGGTCTCGGCCATGACCTCCTTGATTTGCTTCTCGATCTGGCGAAGAATGACAGTGTAGGTTATCTGCCTAGAGCTGACAATTGGTTCGATTGTCATCTCCATCTTTGGGGCCTGCTGGAAAGAGAACCATAGGCGATTACTGGGTGGGGGCTTGATCTTGAACAAGACATGGCCTTCAAGTTTCCGTACAACCACGGCAAGGACAAGATTGACCTCTCGTGCCTTGAACCGCGCGCCTAGATCAATCCTCGCTGTCGCCGCAACCTCCAAGCGGAAGTTGCCAGTGTATCGTACATCTGCCTCAATGCAGCATTCACCCTCAACGGTCAGATCCCGCAGACGTGGATTTGTGATAAATGGTGCCGACTCTCCGGTATCAATGCCTTTGATAGCAATGTTGGAAAGAAATGCCGGCCTTTTAACACGAGCAATCTTCTTTGTAAGCTTCTCCCGTATCGCGTTCTCTATGTCCTTGGTCTTGTAGATGCCCAAGAAAACACGCCCAATCATTGCGTTGAGCCAACGTGTTTGCATGTGTTCTTCTGACGAGTGCAGTCTCTGTACCAAGTTGATAATGTTCTTAACCTCAAACTGGATAGGAGACGGAACATCGCTTTCGGTGTCCAAGGCCTGCTGTTCCTGATTTCGTAGCAGAGCAAAGTAGAAGTCTTCCTTTGCAGAGCAATTTTCGGAAAAGAGGTAGAAAGGTTTCGAGACCTTGCTATCCGGCCCTATTTCCAGCCCGTCTGTCTTGCGCGAGAGGCGTATGGCGTTGCGCTTGATGTACAGCTCGCCCTCAGGAGTAACTTCCTCGCCGGAGTATATGCTGACTTCATGGTGCGCTAGCGCGACAACGTGCCGTACTTCGAGTTGTTCGTCGTCGTCAAAGAGCATGAGATGGCCGTGTCTGTAACAAGCGTCAGGATCCAGGCCGTATCGAGAGCCAGAAGGATAATGCCACGCACCTCAGGACAACATAGAAGACATTGCCGGCCTTCTTAGGGCGCTGACTGGGACCGTTCTTGTGGTCAATGGGACTGGCACTGTTGGACTTGCGGTCGAAGATACTTCGATACATTGTCTGATAGACACTGGGACTGGGGGCGGCGACGGTGGTGGAGCCGACTGGTGTCGACCGCTCGATCGGCTTCGCGTTGATTCCCATGGGCGTATACTCGCGGCAGACTGCAAAGTATCCAGAAGCGACACCATCATCGTGATGGGGCACCCGGGGTTTGCCATCTTTCTTCTGTTCCGCCTTGAGCGCATCAAGATCGTCACCAGGCTGGATCAAGTCGTCGGCTTCTGGGTCGTTGTGCTGGGCGGCATCTGGGCGGTAAGGAAACGTAAAGTGAGCATGAAGTAAAACGCAGGCCACCAACAATGGCAGAAAGGTAAGGCCTCCGAAGAGGTATATCAACAAGAAGATGGTCCAACTCATGGTTGTATTGATATTTTGCCGTCGAAGGAAGATTGTCCACTGCAGTGTTCGAGCCCAGGATGCAAGACAGGAAGGACTGACAGCGGTCGCTGGTGCTCGCTGTTCGTTGTGTCCACCTTCCTCAGGTTGGCTACCTGCTCAGCGTTGCAATTGCATCGATGCGGACTCGAACTCAGGGCTCGCAGTCGCAGTTGCACGGCGAAGTCATGAGCTGTAGGTTTGCGTTGCGCGCTCTCTCAGACAAACAGGAAACGGAAGCGGAAGTGGCGCGGTGGGTTTGAGGTGGAAGGAACTGAAAGATGACGGATGGCCTGCAGCCGAGTTGAAAAGGCCACTCACTGCACTGGACGGCACAGACGGGACACCAAAACTCAACCCGTGGCCCGGGAATGTGACAGGCCAGCGAAGCCCCAAAAAGCAACCGAAAACTGACTAGAAGCTAGAGCCAAGGGATTAGATGGTCGGTTCCTATTCCTGTTCCTGTTGGTGACAGCATCCTCCGTCTGGTTGTGTATGAGAGTGTCAAAGGTGCCAACGCTTTGGAAGGGTCCGAGACGGGTACGTACTGTCTGGTGACATCTTCATCCTCTGACGTGCCCCTGCACCAGTGCTTTTGCCTAGGCAGGAAGAGATACCTTTTAGCCACATTGTTGAGAGAGCCTTATCAGTTCCCCGCAATATCCCATTGGCCAGATCTGTTTATTTTCTTGAGCCACAACGAGACCAGGCAAAATCCCTGACGGTTCGCGGCAGGCACTCAATCAACTTATGGAAACCCAAAAGTCTGGAGCGAGCTTGCTCGACAATTCCACATGAACCTCAACCCCACAGCGAATCTGTCATCGATATATGAGGGATGGACCGCCTCAGCCCGCCGCCTTCCTCTAGCCAGATTATCATTGTCATGGCTTACAATCTGAGAGAATGTTTTTATGGATGGGACGCTCAATGATGAACAGAAACATAAGCTCCGGTAACAAATATCAAGAAGCATGGAGTCTGTCAATCTAGCAAGGTTGTTGAGTTAACTTCCACGGTTCAGTCAGTTGGTTCAAAAAGATGACGTCTCTTCGTCCCGGATTCAAAGCGTAGCCCCAACATCAACATTAAAGCTGAAGTAAGCCATATTTATTTAAGCAGCCGCAATGCTATGTTTAGCTTCGCAGAGGTAATAATGCGGATTATTGTAATAGTAACATATTTGGCTCATGTCCGAATGACTATTTCGATCTGCTCTCATCTCCCTCCCCCCTTTGCAAGTAAACACTTTTGAACGCACTAGAATGTTCACAATACTGGTAGTAGAAACTGGATGCAAATATTGGCCCGATGGAGTGGTTTGTCACATTTGCTCTATTTGGGTATCCCTATCAACCGCGAGATGCTAGGTCGAGAAGCAGAGCAACCGCACAGCCAGACAGGGCTCGAATCGTTTGTCCCTCTGTGACTCGTCTGGCCAGCGGGATTCGTCTTTGGCGGAGTCCATCCGATCACAAGTTGGCTCGAGGCTCAAAAGCACATACACCTGATCAGGAGGAGGCGCATCGAGCCGGTTCTCGTGTGGTTTTGGTTTTGGTCATGGTCATGCCACTGGTATTTTTGATTCCTATAAGCACTCCCGCATCCCAGACCAAAAAATCCATGCAGGAAATCTTTCCGTGCCGAACGCGATGAACCCCATGCAAAGAGAAACCAAACACGCCAAGTCTACCACCACTCCTATCCCAAGAGTACTTTAGATAGTGGTCTCGTAGGCGACGGGGGCAACGGTCTCGGGCTTGTTGTCGACAACGGAGATGGTGCGAGCCTCACGGGGCTGGAGGGGCTGGCGCTTGAGCTGGACGGGCTTGCCCTCAGCCTTGGCCTGCTTCTTGAGCTCGGCGTTCTCCTTGACACGGCGAAGGAAACCCTCGCGGGAGCGGGAAGGCTGGATGTGCTCGACGCGGACGTTGATGCGCTTCTCGATGTAGCGGTGCTTCACCTTCTTGTAGATGATGATGCCGACAGCGGACTTGGTGACGTTGTAGATGACACCAGTCTTGCCGTGGTAGACCTTGTGGGCCATACTATTCGATGTCCAACGTCAGTTTCATGATTCGCCCGTGTTTTCGCGATAGTCCTCGTCGCGGATCGCATTCGGATGTGCCCCTCCTCTTTCGAAATTCCGATGTTTCAGAACCCCAACATATTCCGCATCCCGGTGTTTTTCGCAATCGCAATAGTCGCAAAAAGTGTGGAAATGGTCGTCGCTTACCCCTTCTGGACAGCACCGTTGACCTTGATGTCGACGATGTCGCCAACCCTAGCAAAAAGTTAGCCATGACGTCCCAACTACCCCAATTCGTCGCTGTCGCAACATACTTGTACTGCTTAAGGTAGGTCGAGAGGCGGATCATACCCTTCTCGCGGAAGTTCCGCGAGAAGGCGTATCTCGTACCAGCACGGAGACCTGCGGCGTGACCCATCGTGACGATTCGGCGTGTATGGGGATGCTGAAGACGGTGGTTGCTGCGGGCGTCAAATTTGGACGACGAATTTGTGTGCAAGCAAAACTAGGTCTCGATTTCCCGTCGCATGACTAAGCAAGGTGGACAAAGCTTGGGCCAACCACCAGCCTGCCAGCGTTAGGGCAAGCGGATTTTGTGCCGGCAAGGCTGGGCGCACGGGCCACCACAAACCCTCCTCCAAGTGGCCCTTTGATTTTCTCACTTCGTGAAAACGACTTTCGAAACTTTTCGCTGTCAGTCGACGATCTTTTGAGAAGGACCCCAACAACAAGATGGCGCCCCGTTCGTACTCCAAGACCGCTAAGGTCCCCCGTCGCCCCTTCGAGGCCGCTCGTTTGTGCGTCTAAGTTTGATTCCGAACTCCTTTTCGACGGCCTCTGCGAAGCGACAGCAATTGCAGCGGGAGCAACCATCTCCATGTTCTTTGCGCGTGCGATCGCTCGCATGCCTCAAATCACCGGCCACTGAGCATGAGCTTGACTCTGCTTACGTCGATTGTGATCATACGACTAACTTTCGGACCTCAGGGACTCCGAGTTGAAGCTCGTTGGCGAGTATGGTCTTCGCAACAAGCGTGAGGTCTGGCGTGTGCTCCTCACCCTCTCCAAGATTCGTCGTGCTGCCCGGTAAGTTCTCCCCATACCCCGCTCAATTCTCCAGCAAACCAGGCCCAGAAATGGCTGTTTGGCGCTGGTGAATGATTTGCAAGGAAATCGCAAGATTACTAACTTCTGCCACAGTCAGCTTCTTACCCTCGACGAGAAGGACCCCAAGCGTCTCTTCGAAGGCAATGCCCTCATTCGCCGTCTCGTTCGCGTCGGTGTCCTTGACGAGTCCCGCATGAAGCTCGATTACGTCCTTGCCCTCAAGGCCGAGGATTTCCTTGAGCGTCGTCTCCAGACCTGCGTCTACAAGCTCGGCCTCGCCAAGTCCATCCACCACGCCCGTGTCCTCATTCGCCAGCGCCACATCCGCGTCGGCAAGCAGATCGTCAACGTTCCCTCTTTCGTTGTCCGTCTCGACTCTCAGAAGCACATCGACTTCGCCCTCACCTCTCCCTTCGGTGGCGGCCGCCCCGGCCGTGTCCGCAGAAAGAAGGCCAAGGCCGCTGAGGGTGGTGAGGCTGCCGAGGAGGAGGATGAGGAGTAAATTTGAGGCGCCTATCTTCGCGGGTTGGGTTTCACGTGCATAGCACCGGCTAGGAAAACGGGTCTTGGAAGGTTCATTTTGCCTCTACATCATGATCACGGCGTTCATGTAGTCAGGGATCAAAATGCATGGACGGTTGGCACTGAAATATGTGTCTGGAAGTCAAGAAACCTCCGGATCTGAAGGCACCCTTCAGTCTCAATAATACACCATCTTCTTGTTGCATGTTCGGAATTGTTAAACTCGTTTTTGTGAAGTTCGTGAAGCGTGACGTCTGTTTTGGATGTATCTGTAATTATGCTCGATTGAATTGCTCTACGTTGCTGTCCAAATCCTCATGTGTTTTTGCTCTCGGGCTACTCGAGGCGTCCATATGATCGGTTGAGCACGCTTGGAGAAATAGGCACTGGGGTATCATTCTCAACATCAAACACCACTACATACAGACATACTGTTTACTTGTCCCAAGCATCCGCCTTCTCGCTTGCTGCTATACCTGCCTCCCCTGTGCAGTAACTGTTCTTGACAAATTGATGACAGCAAGCGTAGCCCCATCTGAAGTCCGACCACCAACTGCCCCAAACCGACGTGTGGTTGTTGATGTAAACATCCTCGGGATACTTGGACTTGCCGACCTTCTTCGGTGCCCCCTTGATCAGGCCGGCCTCGTCATACTCCACAAAGGTTTCGCTCTCCTTGATGGTTTCCCGAAGTGCGTCTGGAATGACAGGCTGTGTGCCATATTGGTTCGCCAACTCTTCCGCCCTCTTCCTCCGCTTGGCCTCGCGCTCCTCAGATTCCTTCTTGCGTAGGATTTCACCAGCAGTCGGGTTGGCTTGTAAATGTAGGCTGGTATCGCCCGAACGCTCTTGTGCCTCCCATGCATAACGCTGAGCCTTTTCGAATTCTGCTGCTTCGCCAGAAGCACGCAGAAAACTCTCCTCGGCGAACAAGGCGGCGGACTTATCCGCTATGGCACCAGCGTCGACGAGGGCGCGCTTCTTGGGGTTGTACTTGGCTGAGTCCGAATCCAAGTTAAGAAGGTACTTGGCCGTGTCCTCGCGAATACGCATGGATTGCTTGGTCGTAGCGCGATCGCGTCCCATATCCGACTCCTCGTCGTACTTGAACCCTGATTTGTCGTCCTCGGCACCCTCTCCCTCCCCATCCGGCGACTTCTTGTCTCCCTGTAATGCTTTTCGAGCCTCTTCGAGCATGTTATATTCCTCCACCACCTCCATGTACTGTTTCGGATCATACGCGCTGTAAACGTCCCGCTTGGCTTCGTACCCCAAGTTCACGTCGCGCACGATCCGGTCCGCCTGGATATCCTTGCCCGTCGCCTTGGCGCCGAACTTGCGCGGCCGCTCGAGACAGTCTTTCTTCTTGTGGCCCATGGCGCCGCAGTTCTCGCACGCGCCCTTGACCCATTTCGTCCTCGCCGGACCGGCCTTCTTGCCCCGGGCGAGAAGCGCGGCGGCTTGGGCGGCCTTGTCTTCCTCCTGTTGCCGGGCACGCTGATGGAGAAGGGAGTCACCTTCTTCATTATCCAGACCACTGACGTAAAAGGGCTGTTTGCTGATGTATGATGGGATGTAGATGTTGTCCTCCTTGCGGGCGGCGCCAGCGCCGGTCTCCGACTTGTCGGTTGAGCTTGGGGCAGCTGTGGCCTGTTCGCGCCTGTTCGGTGGTGGAGGAGGCATGGTTGTCTGAATTTCGACGATGTCGTCCAAGGAGCCTTGAAAAAAAGAATTATTGAATGAGATGTCGAGATGGATATACGGTGTTATCGGTGAAAACGGTGGTTGATCCCGAGACTCAAGGTAAGTTCAAAGTCGTTGTTAGGTGAGAGTTCTGCGGCAGGCAAGCGGCGTCCATGCACCTTTTGGCTCTTTGGGCCCGAGACCAATTTGTCATCTTTAACCCTAACCCGCACTTTAAGGTTCCCATTCACTTTGATGAATGAATCCGGTTCGCATCATGGACTTGATTCCGGTTTCATTACATACGAAAGTTAATGTGGTGTTCATCGCCTCGAATCCTCCGGATGAACGTCGAAAGGACGACTGCTCAATAAATCTCAGTTTTGACTGCAACACGCCATTTTGCGTCTGCGCCGCATCACGTGCTTTGGCGTCACTAGTCGTGCGCGCTCGACGACTTTCATGACGCGCATGCCATCCAGAACGAAACGACCCGAAAAGCGTGTTTCTAAGGGATGCACGTCGCCACATCGGGCAGCCGGGGATCTTCACAGCCTATTAGTTTCACTTTATATTGCTCTAGAAATCTAGCAATGAAGATCTGGCATCTCCAGCGGCCGGCATCATGGACGTTTTTCGGGTTCGATTGAACTGTATCGACCACTACCAGGCAACACCAACCGAATATGATCCTCAGTTTGCCCAAGATGTGCGCTTTTCGCATTCACGGAAGCCCCCAAAAGTCCCTGTTATACGAGTATTCGGGTCGACCGAAACTGGCCAGAAAGTCTGCGCCCATATTCACGGCGCCTTTCCCTATCTGTATGTCGAGTATGACGGTAGTCTGGAAGACGCCAAGGGTGAGTGTTCCATTGTCTCTACCGTTACAAAATGTTCCTTTTCTCACATAGCTCTTAGCCAACGAATACATTGCGAAATTGCGTGCATCCATAGATCATGCCTTGGCGGTCAGCTACCGCAAAGATCCCGTTCGCGATCGGCCCATGTACGTAGCACGGATCACGCTGACGAAAGGGATACCCTTCTATGGCTTCCATGTGGGATATCGCTTCTATCTCAAAATTTACCTATTCAACCCGGTGGTTATGTCGCGTCTCGTTGATCTCCTTCAGCAAGGTGTCATCATGAGTCAGAAATTCCAACCATACGAGGCCCATTTACAGTATCTCCTTCAGTTCATGGCTGATTACAACTTGTACGGCTGTGACTACCTGGATGCGGCCATGGTCACCTTTCGAGCACCTGTACCGAAGCACGACGAAAACATCCAAGGCCATGAGACTGAACATCCCTGGGACGATGCGAAGATCCCATCAGAGCTGATTACAGATGATTATAGCCTTCCCCGGGCTAGCCACTGCTCCCTTGAAGTGGACATCTGCGTCGAAGATATCCTGAACCGAAAGCAAGTCAAAGAGCGAAGGCTTCATCATGATTTTATCGAAGGGGAGCAGCCGGTGTCAAGCCAAGAGAAGCTGGTGCACAGCATGGCTGGGCTCTGGACGGATGAGACGAACCGCAGGAAAAGGCGTATGGGAATAACGGACCCTGAAGTCAACCCTTTTCCTCCGGAAGTCTTGGTATCAATGTCTGCGGACCCACGTCAATCACAGGTGATGGGGTGGGTTCATGAAACTGAGTACCGTGCTGGTATTCAGCAACTGGTTGCTCAGGAGCAAGACAATACAGATGGATGTCAGAAGACTTTCTCCGGCTTTGTGCAACCAGTTCCCTTTGAAGAAACTATCAAGACTACTTTAGAGTCAGTGGAAGACCTATACCCAGAGAACTTAAGCCAAGCTCTGCAAGTTGAGGCACAATTGTTTCACATGAATGCACAGCCACACAGCAGCATCGACGTCGACGAACGAACTATCTTACAGCTAGCAGGCGAGCGGAATGCAAACCGTACTCCACCCGAGCACGCGGACAGAATGTCACCGGGGGAACCTATCAATGGCGTTGGAGAAGGGTTTGGCGTGGGGGATTCGATAACTTATGATACGGGTAGGCGGCGCCGTGTACACCAACCCCGTACTTCCATCCGTCATAAACTTTTCAAGATTGCCAAGGCTTACTCTTCCAAACAACCAGCCAATACGGGTAGACAAGCCAGGGCTCTTGGTCCTGGAGAGCGACCACGAAGATATCCTAAGCATCCCAGACCGCCGGGAGAAGTTGATCGTGATGCACCTGCAAAACGTCAGATGCTCCAAGCTGAGGGCTCTAGGGAGGCAGTTCACTTAAAAGCCAATGCCCCGCAAAGCGCTTCGGAAATGGCTTCGAGAAAGGCCCAGTCAAAAGCTCGGGAGGCAGCTCAGCCAGGGCCTCAGAGAAGGCCTCAGGGTAACCCTCCGGAAAGGGCTCACGAGAAGTCAAACAAGAGGGTTCATGAGGATGCTCAAGCAAAGGCCCATCGAAAGGCCCAACAAAGGTCTCTGGAACAGGGCCTGGAACATGACCAGAAACAGGACCAACAAAAGACTCAGGAACTAGCCGGAGAACAGTCTCGGGGAGAAGTTCAGGGGGCAGTTCCAGAAAATTTAACATCTACGAAGCCCGCTCGGACGGTTCAGCCAATAGAGCCCAGTGATCAGGATCCAACAGTAGAGCAACCCTTGGCCAATATTTTGAAGGTCGAGCCACCAAAACCCAAGGCATCTCAGCCCACGAAGTCTGCTATGAAGCAGAGCTCTGCAAAAGAGTCCCAGGGCCGTAAATTCAACTTTCCCGTTGTCAAAGATCCACAAGATCCCAACACAAGGGCTCGATTGAGCCAAAAGAGTGGTTCGCAGAAGAACGAAGAGATGGTTGCTAAAAAGCAACTTGCCTTCGACCCTCAACCCACCATTCTGGGGTCATCGGCTCAGGCGAAGCCCAGTCAGACTGAACCCAACCTAAAATCGTCGTCCAAGCCCTTTGACTCGGCCCCTGCGGCTTCGGCTCCGGTACTCTTGTGGAGTGGCTCAAACAAAATGTTTGTCCTGGACAGCAAACCTCCATCACTGAGCGAGGTCCGCTGTACCATGCAGGTACATGGCCTACCTGATGTCATCTATCAGGATGCTTATTACAGCAAGGACGAGGATGTTCCTCCAAAACCGAGAGAGTATGCAGGTAGGGAATACCGACTTGACGGCAGCTCGGTCCCTTGGCTCCCTGACTTCGACCCAACTGGCACATCACCGGCCACATTTGGCGAGAAACCAACCTCCGGTGCCGATTGGCCGATGCTGGAGGCGATCTACGAGGCTCAACAAGAGGATTGTGCCATGAGGAGCTGGGAAATAGCAGAGCCTCCTCCCTCTTTTAAAGAAGTGAGTGAATGGTGGGCAGATAAACAAAAAGGTCGCAATACAAAACGACGTCTGTTCACGCCTCTAAGGATCAAAACCGCTCGCTCCCAAGTCGCAGGCGCGACGCCGAAGAACAAGCATGGTTTCAGATATTCCGAAAAGGAAAAGTCCACGAGTGTACAGCATCAGGCACAGTACATGAGCACTATGAGCCTAGAAGTGCATGTCAACACAAGGGGCAAGCTAGTACCGGATCCTGAAGAAGACGAAGTGCAGTGTGTTTTTTGGTGTCTGCGCTCCGACGAAAACGCTCTTCGAGGAACCCAGGCGCCAGATAACACAGTACGAGGCATTGTTGTTTTCTCAGAGGATGGTCTGCTAGCAGAAAAAATTCGGAAATACACATCGGTGCCGGTACTGCAAGAGACAACGGAACTTGATGTGATGGTCCGGATGGTCGAGATTGTGCGGAACCATGATCCAGACATCTTCACCGGCTACGAAGTGCACGGTAGCTCCTGGGGCTACCTTATTGAGCGGGCGAGGATAAAGTACGACCTCGATCTCTGTGATGAGTTCTCACGCATGAAATCTCAGTCAAATGGGCGTATCGGCAAGGATGCTGATCGCTGGGGCTTCAACACGACATCCTCGATTCGAATAACCGGACGACACATGATCAACATCTGGAGAGCCATGCGAGGCGAGCTCAATCTTTTGCAGTATACCATGGAGAATGTCGTGTGGCATCTGCTACACCGTCGGATCCCACATTACAGCTGGAAAACGTTGTCCGATTGGTATCTCAGCGGGCGACCGAAAGATCTGGACAAACTTCTCCGGTATTACCTGACGAGAACGCGACTTGATATTGAAATCCTGGAAAAGAATGAGCTCATTCCTAGGACAAGCGAGCAAGCAAGGCTGCTCGGAGTTGACTTCTTTTCTGTTTTCTCCAGAGGATCGCAGTTCAAAGTAGAGTCAATCATGTTCAGGATAGCCAAGCCCGAGAACTTCCTCCTCGTTTCTCCGAGTAGGAAGCAAGTGGGCGCCCAAAACGCTCTGGAGTGTCTACCCTTAGTGATGGAACCTCAGAGTGCGTTCTACAGCAGCCCATTGCTTGTTCTCGACTTCCAGAGTCTGTATCCTAGTGTCATGATTGCCTACAACTACTGCTACTCGACCTTCCTTGGGCGTATCGTTAGCTGGCGAGGTACAAACAAGATGGGCTTCATGGACTACAAGAGGCAAGAGGGACTTCTTAGTCTGCTCAAAGATTATATCAACATTGCCCCAAACGGTATGATGTACACCAAGCCTCATATTCGCAAGTCTCTTCTTGCGAAGATGCTTACCGAGATTCTCGAAACTCGCATCATGGTCAAGTCCGGTATGAAGCAAGACAAGGACGATAAGGCGCTTCAGCAACTGCTGAACAACCGGCAGCTGGCGCTGAAGCTCCTTGCTAACGTCACCTACGGCTACACTTCGGCCTCGTTCTCAGGTCGTATGCCCTGCTCCGAGATAGCCGACAGCATTGTCCAAGCCGGTCGCGAAACACTTGAACGGGCTATAGCCTTCATACACAGCGTCCAGAAGTGGGACGCCGAGGTCGTCTACGGCGACACCGACAGTCTCTTCGTCTATCTCAAGGGGCGCACCCGCGAACAGGCCTTCGACATCGGCCAAGAGATTGCCGACGCCGTCACCAAGATGAACCCGCGCCCCGTCAAGCTCAGGTTCGAAAAGGTCTACCACCCGTGCGTGCTCATCGCCAAGAAGCGCTACGTCGGCTACAAGTACGAGAGCCGGGACCAGACCGTGCCCGAGTTTGACGCCAAGGGCATCGAGACGGTCCGCCGCGACGGCACGCCCGCCGAGCAGCGGATCGAGGAAAAAGCCCTCAAGATCCTCTTCGACACCGCCGACCTCAGCCAGGTCAAGAGTTACTTCCAGGAGCAGTGCCACAAGATCATGCGCGGCGCCGTGTCCGTGCAGGACTTTTGCTTCGCGCGCGAGGTCAAGCTGGGCACGTACAGCACCAGCGGCCGCGGGGGGCCGGCCCCCGCCGGCGCGCTGATCGCCACCAAGAAGATGAGGGAGGACGCGCGCGCGGAGCCGCAGTATGGCGAGCGGGTGCCGTACGTGGTGATGGCGGGCGCCCCGGGGATGAGACTGGTGGATCGGTGCGTGGAACCGGAGGAGCTGCTGAATAACTCGCATGCTACGCTGGATGCGGACTACTACATCAACAAGAACATCATTCCGCCGCTGGAGAGGATCTTCAACTTGGTGGGCGCGAACGTGAGGACCTGGTATGAGGAGATGCCCAAGGTTCAAGTCTTGCGGAAGGTGGTGCTGGAAGATGAAGACGCTGCTGCTGCTGCCGCCCCCAGAGGACCACTATTCGGCCTGCTGCTAGGAGCGTCACCAAGCAAAAAGGGTGCGGCCGCAGCAGCAGCAGCACTAGATACTGAAGATGTTCTAGGAGAAGACGGCGAGCCCCTCCCGCCCGACGTAGCAGCAGCCCAAGCGCAAGCGCGCAAAACCCTCGAAGCCTTCCTCAACACCACCATCTGCACCGCCTGCGGCGTCAAGATCAAGCGGCGGCCGCTCGGGGTAGGGCTTGCGCGCGAGCTGGGCATGCTTGACGGGGGGGAGGAGGGCGCCGTGGACCGAGTCGGCCTGCCGCTCTGTCGTCGGTGCGCTTCGGATCCACCCACCCTCATGGTTGACATGCAGACCAAGGTCAGCAGGGCCGAGAAGGGTTACGCGGAGATCATAAAGGTTTGTCAGAGCTGTGCTGGCTTTGCACCGCCCGAGGATGAGGTGCCCTGCGATAGCAAGGATTGCCCGGTCTTTTACTCGAGGGTGAAGCAGAGGACGAAGATGACGGCGGAGAAGAGGGTGATGGAGCCGTTGATTAGGTTGTTTGGGGACTTGGAGTTGGGTAAGGAAGGTGGTAGTGAGGACGAGGATGGTGAGGAGGAGGAGGGTAATTGGGAGCTGGAAGGGGGAAGTGAGGTTGTTAGCGGAGGTGGGAGGATGGAAGTGCAGGAAGACGCTGGAAGGAGATATGAGGAGGAGGAAGCAAAAAGCGAGGCCATTGTCCGGGGCAAGGGGAGAGCCGTGAGTGAGGAGCAAAGGGAGAATGATGGGTTTCTGGACAGTAGTTTTAGGGGCCTGAAGGCTGCATCTCTGGATTGGTAGTCAGGCCTAGCGAAGTTGTTTGGGTTGAAGGGATTATGAGAAACTTTTTTTGTCCATTCTTATGCTCCCGTTGAAGGTTCCATATACTCTGTGAGTCCAATATACTCTGTCAACCACTGATGGGCTCGCAGCTCATGAACTTGAACCAGTGGAATAGTGGTATCACGGGTCGGACATCATCCGGCCTTCATGATATGGGCCACATAAAGTTCAGACACTCCCATTCCTGGTTCATTGCGGGCAACCTACGTCTTTGAGCAAAGAATTGCGGGAGACGATACACTGGCGACCTTGAAAGGTTTTATCTTGATATATTTTTATATTTTTTCTCCTTTACTTCTTCCTCTTCTTTCATCCTCCTTTTCTTCGGTGTTCGACTTCACCATGGGGAGTGATATCTGATCAATGACATTTAATGAGGAGACTGTCTGGTATCTTGCTCGTTCACGCTGGGCTTAACTGATCACTTTCCCGCCGCCATTAAAACAAGTCATTGTCACTGTTGCCAATATATATAAAAAAAAAAATTACCACCTCCAGCAAAACTTGATTTACAAGTTCTTCGACCGCCCATCCACGATGTTCATCATCCTGAGAGACTGATTACACAAAGGCTTGGCACATAGTATTGCCGCACATAGTATTGCCGCACATGGATCCCTTGACTGCGGTCTTCCAGGCTTGATCTGGAAATCCGCGGATGTGTGGATTCAGTGACGATTCTACCGAGGTGTGTATACTGTATACTGTACGTGTAGGTTTCGCCGGATACACTATCTGGGTAGGGTGTAGTAGAGGTGGCTTGGAGATGTCCCTCACCTCGTCACTGCCAGGTATATAAGCTGCGTCCAATGCCGTTTCGATGAAAGTTAGTAGAGATGTGAAGAGAGAGCCTTACCACAAAAACACGCGCCCGGCACATGGAATACAGGGATATAGAAAGACACGGGATCCTGGCAGTCGTTGGCAGTTGCTCGACACAAAATCTAGAAAACCATGATTGCACGGACGGCGGCCCGGCGGTACCTCTCATGCAGGTACAAAACACCACCATTGGCATCCATCTCGGATGGCTCCGGCTCGGTAGTGTTGGCGAGATGGAGATGATGCGGCGTAACAGGGGAAAATTAAACTATCTCTCTCATCAAACGGTTGTGGATACTGTACCTTTTGGACACAGGGGCTTTCGAGAGGTACCAGAAATTCTAACTTTCTTTCCCTTCAGCTTGTGGCGATGGGTTTGTATGGATTATCCCAAAATGTGGATCCCAGTTATGTTAACGAGTGGATGTAGCTAAATAGGGGTTGCCGGGTCAGCAGAACTCGCTCGCTGCTGTGGCCTTTGAATCGTCCTGTATGTAGTGAACGTTAGTGATATTTATCCCGTTGTTGAAACAAGCAGATGGTGACGGGCAATTTGTGTTGGCTTGTTGGACGAGCGGGGCGTCAAAGTGTCCGCCTTTGGTCAAGTCACAAATAAAGCCCAAAATGTAGTACCACAACCCCCGTCTTTCAAGTGTGTTGGGTGACGTTACGTCACACGCATGTCGTGCGGTCTTGACAAAGATCCCTTGAGTCGATGATGAGATGATCTGGCAGATTGGTTTTGAGGTGGTGGAAGGTCGCAATAAACCCCACGAAACATGAGGCGGTGAATCGTGGGACAGAAACATGGACGAATATTGAGGTGAATATTTTGTAGGGAAGCGATTAGCGGGCTGCACCGCGCACATCACCTCGGCGCTTTGGCTCGTTCCCCTGCATTCGCGCCTTGGCAAAGGAGACGCAGCTACGGCACCGGTCCGAGAAGTGTCAAAGAGCTGACGGTGCAGTAGCGTCCAGCAGCAACCCTCAACTCGTGCTCGTGTGGTGTTTCCGGTGCTGCAGTGCTGCACTCCAAGACTCTCACCATTGTCCCTCATTTCCATCATTTCCGGCTCATCGACTTCTCAGTGGTTCTTCCCCCCCTCTCAACCTCGCCGCTCTACCTAGCACCCCTTCCTGGCCTTCCATGCAGGCTGGCTGACCAGCACATGAGCCAATGTCGTGTCGGGAGGTGGAGATGGTGGAGATGGTGGAGTTTGGCAGTTTGTCTTCCATTTCGACTCACGCTGAATCACGCCCGGTCGACGGTCGGTGCCACCACCTCAGCACCGACTGGCACCTGCAGTGATGAGAGCGCCTCCCTGGTTCCCAGGCGAGCCAGGCAAGCCAAGCTCCAGGAGACATGTGTAAACAAACCGTAGCTGGCACTGTAATTTATTGGACAAGTGGGTCCCCTGGGACTGCGCCAGTCGCGCGATCCAACCTCACCAGAGTGGAAATGGAAGTGGATTGGAAGCCCAGTGGAAGTGGAAGCCGCCAGGCACAGCGCCAGCGATCAGGCCCAGGCACACAGGCACGCCCCGACGACGGGCAGCCCCAGGCACAGGCACAGCACAACGGAATGCACCCGTCCACCTCCACGGCAGCGGGCTCTCTTCCCGTCCATTCCCCCCTCAATCTGTCGATTTGCACCAACTGTTGACCGTCCTTCGCATTCAGTTCGAGTCACGACCACCAGTGAGGGCCTCTGTGACAGCCAGCAAGCCGAACAGTCTTGCGCGCTGCTGGGTCCAATTTCCCTCTTTTTTTTTTTCCTTTTCATTGTCTCCATCTCCTATCTCCTCCGTCTCCGCTCCGACGGGATTTCCGTCTCAAGGGGCTTCTCTCCATCTTACCTAATTAAACCGTCCCGTCCGGCTGCCGACCGTGTGGGTGGCTGCAAACTCCAACTCGCCCGACCGTATTAATCGAGACCGTAATCGAGACCGTAATCGAGACCGCGCCTCCGACCGACTCTCTCCGCCAGACCCAGGCCAATCTCCGGTCATCATACCGTGTTTGTGCCTACGTGGACGCAAAAAAGAAAAAAAAAGATAATTGTGAAGGAGGAAAAGAGCGTCGCGCGCGTGTGACAAAGGGACGAGACGGATACAGCGCAAGCGCAAGATATACACTGCAAAGGTGCGCAACCGCAGCACTCCAACAAGCCCAGTCGATCACCACACACTCCAATCCCTCCACAGTCCACACTCCCTTCGCTTCCCTTTGCATTTGCACTGGCGTGAGTGGGCGTGCGCACAGGTGCATAGTTGACAAGACACTACGTATTGCGCAGCGTTGTGCACAGGTCTCTGCACCTGGTGTCAGCCCTCCATCAAGTGTCCTCCAAGTGGAAGCTCGGTCTTCTTGCCTCCATCTCCCTGCTACTGGTCTCCGTTCGGCGCTGGCTGTTTGGCTGGCCTTTGGCGGGCTAAAAAGTCGTCGCACAGGCGTGGATCGATGTGTGATTTGCTAGCCTCGGCGTGTCAAAATCAATCATTGCTCGCTTCCACCTCGTCCCCCTCCTTCATCTTTCCCAATCCCAAGCAAGCGGCATGCGACCGGTTGAGATCTCCTATTTGCGGACAGCATTGTTGACGCAGTTAGGCCAAGTCAGATCTCCAGGTTACCAACCGACCAACATCCAATTTTCGGCTGGGATCCATCAAACGGCATTCATGCTGCTGTATCAAAGTCGACAACCTCAACATCCGACACAACCACATCCCTCCCTCCACCAGGACGTTCGAGGTCCCTGCTTCCACCTGTCGCGTAAATCCCCACCGACCGAGACCGACCACCTGGACATCAACAAAACTTTTTTGCTCCGACCTCTTCAACACCTTGCCGGCTCGCTATAACGTTTGTTTGTGCTTGCCTTCCGACTTACTGCTATTCGATATTTCCTAATCAACTCTTTTTTTTGTCACTCCTTATTGGCGTCCATTCTTCGGTACCGTCACTCTTTACCGTTGTCTTTTTTCCCTTGTTTCTTTTACAACCAGAACCGACCGTTCTTTAATAGCATTTCGCAGGCAGCCGGGTCTGCCTTCATACTCCGAATCACATCGATACGAGCATTGGGCCGCCAACCTCCTAGGACAGATTGCATCCAGTGCATCTCGGATACGATACAAAACGAATCCGAACCGCCATTGCGGTTGGGAAACCGCATCCCATCAAGTAGTGGTTGAGGCCTGCCTGTCCGATGGCTTCGAGAAGAATGGCCAACTCTTTGGCACCCGACGACCAGGTCGCGGCCGTGACCGCCAGCGACCTGTACGATCCCTTTCTGAGCCCACCGGGGCAAAACAACCAGCGACATTCCACTTTCGACTCCCAACTCTTTTCGCTCGGCCCCGAGGCCTCCGCCGAGCAAGTCAAACGAGCTCTCAAGGCTCACCTTCAAGACACGGAGCGAAGAATGGAGGAGGCTGGCAAATTGGGCACCGCTTTGGTACAACAACAACGAGAACTTGCCGAGCGACTACGAGAGGTGGAACAGCTACAGTCCGAAACCGAGATAGACCCCGATTTGCGCCAGAAGCTGGCTGAGATCGAGAGGGAGTACAACGAGGTTGCCAGAGAAAGCGCGCGTGCTTTCCTGCCCAAACAGCGAGTTCCTAGTAATGATCCAGCTCAGGCTTCTCCGTCTCCTTTCTCACCAGAAGAGAGAGGCTCAAGGGTAAAGACCTTTTTTCCGTAGGTTGTAACTTGGGCTAATGATTCGTAGCATCGCTCTGCCAGTCCGTCCAAATTCGAGAGTCTTGCCTCAGCATCTCCTTCCAAACTCAGTATACCGAATCGAAGATCACGTAATCAACCCGCGAATCGCATCCACGATATCGAATTTGCTGCCGAAATCAGCACATCCTTGATCGCTCAGGTCCGGAACCTGCAAGCTCTGCTTGCCGAAAAGGAAGGAGAGCTCAAGAATCTCAAGGTCGAGCAAACCCAGTTAGAACTCGAGGCAGAAGGACTCCAACAACGCATGCGGGCTTTGGATGAAAGTGAGAGCCGATATAAGGATGAAAATTGGAACCTTGAGACGCAGATCCATGAACTTTTGGCTGCACAACGGGAGGGTGCGGATCGCGAGAAAAAGCTTCAACAAACGCTCAACATCGTCCAAGCCGAAAAGAACACGACTCAACGAGAGCTTGAGGAGCTCAAGCATAATCAATCCAAGCAAGATGAGAAGCATGCTGCTACCATCAAGAGCCTCGAAATTGAGTTGGGCACCAGCCGACGAAACGCTGCTCTAGCAGAGAGTGAGCGCTTGGCGATGCAAAAGAAGGTCGACGAGTTGACTCAACAAAACCAAGAGCTTGCGAGAGCATTCGCCCAAGAGCGCGGACGAGCATTGGAGCGCGAATCTCGTCATGGCAGCAGCGACGATGACTACCAGATGGCGGCTGATGCCGGCACACCAGAGCATTCACCACCACCGTCGCCGGTCAAACTAACCCCCAGACACTCGGGACTCGAGTCTGAAACCTTGAAGACCTCTCTCGCCCATGCCCATCGCACAATTCAGACCCTCAGGACCAACATTCATCGCGAGAAGACCGAAAAGCTCGAACTGAAGCGCATGCTTCAGGACGCCCGTGATGAGGTTGAGAAGCTGAGGACCGGACCTGATGGCCCACCTCACGGTCGCAAGACTCGCAAGATGGAGTCCAGGGAATTCAAGAAGCCGAGACTTGGTCAGCTGGGCCTTAACCGCTCGACCAAGACCGAGGTACTGCCTGTTGCGCCCCCTAGCCCAGAGGATCCGGAGTGGGAGGACCAGAGCGAAGCTCCATCCCCTCGTACTAAGGCAATCACCGGCCCGAACCTGCGTCCCGTTCGCAGTTTCATCCCTATTGCGGAATCTAGTAGCGACCATTTCGAAACAGCGAACGAAACTAGCGATGCGGCCTTCGAGACCGCAGCAGAGCGTGCCACGGAAACAGCAGACTTCCAGACCGGGGCCGAAGAATTCTCGGATGACGACTCCGACGCGCAAACAGAGACTGAAGCTTCCACCGGTGCTGGCCGGCTTAAGCGCCCTTCAATGACGCCTTTGGGTGATCTGATCCACCGGTACTCCTTTGACAGTACCGCTTCGACGTCAGCAGACGATGAATATCCCGCCTCCAATGATCCTCGGATGATGACCCCATCAGCCCAGCCAGCCCAGAGGTTGCGGAGGGGCATCAGCCGTGCTACTCTTGCTTCCAACAGACGGTCACGACAGCCTAGTGTCGATCCAGGCATGCATAGCAGCCCTGCAAGCTTCTTCAACAACACATCCGAGTCCCCGCAACAAGGTCAAAGCTTGTTTGCCGAGCTTAATGAGTTTGGTAGCGATGATGAATCATCCGTGGGCGCCGCTACGCCAGGTCGAAGAAGCATCCGCTCCGTTGCTAGCCAGAACCGCCCAGTTACGCCGCCCCCCAGAGTCCCACGCCTGCCAAGGGCTGTGATGGTTGATAGCGGAATGGTGACCGACCCAGTTGATTTCAGATCTTTGGCCACCACCCCTGGTACACCTTCATCGACGGCGTCCGCCCAAGAAGGCAACATAACTGCCATTAATATCAAGCGTCCTATTTCCATGGAATCGGTTGTTGGACCTAACGGGTCACCTGCTTCCACTCGAATGCTCGGGGACGAACTGAGACGGGCAGTTTCCTCACAACCCGTACCGGCCGTATCCTATAGCGATGCCGGCGTGCAACACGACATTGAACCCACCGCCGTGCAGTCGCTGAGCATTTCTGCTGTTCAGTCCGAGGATATTGAGCCAACGCCTGTACTACTGAATGTGACCTCGATCGTTTCGACGAACATCGAGCCTGTCTTGGAACCTGTTCCTGAACCGGCACCGCTTACAATGTCAAGCCTCGTTTCAGAGGATGTTGAACCTGTACAGGAGCCGGAGCCTGAACCAGTTCCCCTTAGTCTTTCAGGCCTCGTTGCCGAGGATATTGTGCCTGTTTCGGAACCCGAACCTGAGCCCGTGCCCCTCGCCTTTTCCAAGCTCGTTTCTGAGCAAGTTGAACCTGTCTTGGAACCTGTGCCGGAACCAGCACCGCTCACCTTCTCGCAATGTGTCTCTGAACACATTGAACCTGTTCTGGAACCTGTTCCCGAACCAGCGCCTCTGACTGTCGCGTCTTTCATCTCAGAGCACATTGAGCCGGTCTTCGAGCCAGAGCCACCGGCACCTGAGCCGATTCCCCTCAGTGTATCGGGCCTTGTTTCTGAACAAGTTGAGCCTCGCGCTGATCCAGAGCCCGAGGTCCTCCCGCCGCCAACACTCAGCATACCAACCGTCCTTGCCCAGGACATTGAGCCGGAGGCGACTGTGTCACCACCTATTGACCTTGCCTTTTCGCATGTTCTCTCGGAACACGTCGAACCGGTTGAAGTACCAGTGGAAGCACCTACTGTCGTCACTGTAGTGGAGGCACCAAAGGAACTCAAGGAGAAGGCTCTGCCTGTCGCCCTCGGCTTCTCGTCGATTGTATCGGAGGATGTGGAACCACAAGCGGAGCCTACGCCGTTGCCGGCGCCGTTGTCACTCTCGCCTATCAAGGCAGAAGTGCTGGAGCCCCGTCAGGAACCAGAAGAACCTTCACCGGCTCTTGCTGTTTCATCTATCCGGTCACACGACTTCGAGCCCGTTGAGCTCCCGCCTGTTCCCTTGCCAGCATTGTCGGTATCTTCAGTCCAGGCAAGCGATATCGAGCCCGTTGAGGAAGCACCCGCTCCTTTGCCGGCGCTGTCGATCTCCTCGCTCCAAACGAACGATATTGAGCCTATCGAGGAACCGGTTGCTCCCTTGCCAGCGCTGTCAGTCTCCTCAGTCCAAGCGAGTGACATCGAGCCTGTTGAAGAACCGCCTGCTCCCCTGCCGCCACTGTCTATTTCTTCAGTCCAGGCGAGTGACATCCAACCTGTCGAGCTGCCAGCTACTCCCTTGCCGCCGCTCTCCATTTCGTCGGTTCAGGCGAGCGATATCGAGCCAGTTGAGCTACCTATCGCTCCTCTGCCGCCGCTCTCCATTTCGTCAGTTCAGGCGAGCGATATCGAGCCAGTTGAGCTACCTATCACTCCTCTGCCGGCGCTATCACTCTCGTCAGTTCAGGCGAGCGATATCGAGCCAGTTGAGCTACCTATCGCTCTTCTGCCGGCGCTATCACTCTCGTCGGTACAGGCCAATGACATTGAGCCCGAGGAAAGGCCATTGACACCACCCCCTGCTATGTCCGTTTCTAAAATCCAACTATTGGATGTTGAACCAGAAGAAGTTCCCGTTACTCTGCCGCCTACTCTCTCTGTTTCAGAGATACTGGCCCAAGAGGTCGAGCCTCTCGCTCTGGAGCCTGCTCTCAGCCTTCCTCCATCACTGGCTTTTGCTGACTGGCAGTCACTGGGTATCGAGCCTCCCCTGAATCGCAGTCCGAAGAGAAATGCTTTCATCATACCCAATGACCCAGAAACCGACGCATCTGTTGAGGGAGACCTCCCACGGTCTACTCCCGAGCAGCAGGCCGACTCACAGCAGAAGCCACCATTGCCTACTGTGGACCAGGAAGTGCAAACAGCATTGACCTCGGAGGCTATTGACATGCTTTTGATGTCAGAAGCTCACCAGTCCCATGCTCGTGAACTTGAGAGGACAGACTCGTCTTTGAGTACCGGCACTATTAGGAGGCACCGGAGTTTCCAGGAGATCCCTGAAAGCATCGCTTCTTCAAAGGGCAAGATGGCGGATACCGGTACTGCTGTTAGCGAAGGAACAACAGCCTTTAGGAGACCAAATAGCTCTGCTAGTAGCAGGGCTTTTGTAACCGATGTTCCACCCCTACCTCCTAACCACAAGGAGGCTATCGAAGCTGCCAGAACTGGCTCCTCAAGTGGCAATCAACCAATGACTGGTCTCATGGGGCCGCCGTTATTCTCGGCCTCTGCGCTCAGGAATCAAAATCAGGGATTGCGACCACAAACTCCCAGTGGCAACACACGCCCTATGTCTCCCATGTCTTACGTGTCTGGTCGTGGCACGCCCACACCCCGTGCCATGGACAGAACTGGTTCAGCACATGGAACTATGGCTTCTGGTGTTCACTCACCGTCTCGCTTGACGCAGCATAGCCGCAAGTCATCGGTTTCCTCTTTTGTTTCCGAGATGGACACGCGGTTCCAGATGCAACAAAACGGCGGCTTCGATCCGCATGGGTTCGGCGCGGGTACGGACCCTCGCATGATCCAGGCTATCACCCAGACCATGATCGGTGAATATCTGTGGAAGTATACTCGCAAGGCTGGCCGTGGAGAGATGTCCGACAACCGGCATCGCAGGTACTTCTGGGTTCATCCTTACACGCGTACCTTGTATTGGAGTGACCGTGACCCGACAGCCGCGGGTCGCAGCGAGTTGAGAGCGAAGAGCGTTCCCATCGAGGCTGTACGAGTCGTCGCGGATGATAATCCTATGCCTCCTGGTCTGCACCGCAAGAGTTTGGTGATCATCTCACCCGGCAGGACTGTCAAATTTACCTGTACAACGGGCCAGCGGCACGAAACATGGTTCAATGCACTCTCTTATCTGCTCCTTCGGACCAACGAACATGGCCACGCAGACGCGGAGGAAATAGCCGGGCATATCACGAGAGATGACATCAACGATTTCAACCCTCAATACTCGAGACAGGCGCCAAGCGGCTCCCGTGGCGCACCTTCGCTGTCGTCCTACAACTCCAGATCGCTCCGTGTCGACTCGCCGGCCCTCGATATGTCGATGAACATTCCAACCCTCACGCCCAACAGGCAAAGCGCCCAGAATCGCCCCTCAGTCGGCACTCTCAGTCGGATCAGTGGCTATTGGAAGGATAGCAAATTTGGCAGTATAAGAGGCAGCAGGAGTGTTTCTGGTCGGGACACGCCCCACGGCATCTACGAACAGAGCGAAGTCGAGGACAGCGCTGAGGATGTGAGACAAATGATTGAACAGCAAGATCGAGAAGCCGACCGGCTTGAGAACGTCAGAGCTTGTTGTGATGGTAAGCAGAGTCCCATGCTATTTTATCAGGACGCTTTCTTAATATGGTATGCTAACGTTCACATAGGGAAACATGATGTTGGCACGTTGACTAGTGGTTCTAAGCGCGGCCACAATCACCATTCCCACCATCACCACACGCACAGAGGATCTTCGAGGGGACCTTCAAGAGGACCTAGTACTACACCATCACGGGCTGGAACCCTACGATCTGCGGCATGAACAGTTTTGCAAACTCCAGTTTCGTCGGATAGTCTTTAACTGAAGGGTTACCGTTACCAAATCACATATCAGATTGCCACTTTGTCTGGCGACATTTTCTTCTCATCGATCGCTTCAGCTACCATTTTGCATCGGACTTTTCACGGAATACAAACCGGCCATACGCTATGGAATTTATTATGACGTTGATGATCACTTCATCCACTGTTTTCTTATTTGTTTACCCTGCGCTTCTATCGAGAGAACCCCTTGCCATCCATCATTGGCGCCCTCGTGGGTTCTCTGCAAAGCCGCTGCACCTTGTACTACCAACCTCGGGCTTTCTTCAGCTCCTTCGCCGTTTCTCATCTGTTCGTGTAGTCCTTTTTTGGATTGGCTTAGGTTACCGGGTTTGTGGGCGTTCTTCGTTCAGAAGCTGTTGACTTCTGCTACCCTTGGGCATTTCGCTCAAAGGGGGAAAAATGGATGTAGGGAAGAAAGAGTGACAGGAAGAGGAGGACTCCAAGGGAAAATTGTCTGCGTTGCTGTTTTGTCTGGCTTGCCACTTACCCGTAGCTATCTGCTTCACTTTTCTTTGGCCTTGACGCCATATGGATCAGTTAAGGTGCCGTATGAAAATTGAGATGGAGATGCGGGTTGGGAGGAAGGAGGTTTAGTGGAATAAGTTGAGGTACGATGGTGCGAGCGATAGTAGGAACGCAGTATTTAATAGAAATATACTTTGACTACTTGCACACATGTCATCTTTTTTGTCTGTGGTTGTGATAACCCGGGTTTGAATTTAACCCAAACAAAACACACAACACCCTGGAGGCAGCCTTTGCTTGTGAACGGTAGGTAGCTACCAAAAGTGTTTAGGTTGGAGCCGGATTATCACAGAAGTGCCAGGTGGAAAGCCGATGAGACATAAACTCAAAACACACGAACAACTGCTCCGTGCATAGCATGTCAATACAAAACCACAAGGAAACGAGAAGTGTTTTGCGTCTCACTGCTGGCATAGGAATTTGTCAGTTCAAGTGTAAAGGTACGTACCCAGTGTGTCAACATTCGCTTTGCGAGCCGCTGCTCTGATTGGTTCGAGCCCTGAAAGAAAGGGGTGAAGTTTGTTGCCAAGGATTTGTCAGCTGCCAGCCGTCTGTTTCGGTCTGGAAGCTTTCAGAGGAGAATATGACATAACCCTCGGTATCGATTGGCGATTATCAATCTTATCAGACCGTTCACCTCTTTACCCGTCGCGTCTCGCCTCGTTCTCAGTCACCAAGAATCCATCAAAAGACACAGGCATTCTTCCGCCTGCCTCAAGCAACCCGCTTCAAACGTTGTTAATTACTCCGACCATATTCGAATTCACCGCACCTGACATCCTTTCCCATACCGTCACCGGAATCTCACAATGGCGGACACCGAGCAACCACCAGCAGCACCAGCAGCACCCGAACCCACAACAGCGACCGCAACCGCCCCCATCGCTCCAGTCGCAATCTTCAAGAAGCGCGGCGCAAAGGGCAAAGCGAACCTGCGCAAACGCCCCGCCTCTCCGCCACCCGCAGCAAAAGACAGCGATGACGACTCCTCCGACTTCGAGTCCTCCGAGGACGAGGCAACAGGCCAGCGAATCAAGCGGAGGAAAAAGAACCACAAAGCGGCCGTCATGGCGTCGTCACGAGATAAAAACGGCGGCAAGGGGATGACAAGGGAAGAACAAATCCGGAGCAACACCATCTACGAAGCCGACCGGGACGCCGCGCTGCGGCTGGACGCGACGAAGCAGGATGCTACCAAGGGGAGCAATTGGTTTGATGAGGACAAGGAGAAGGATGATGATCTCTCGGTGGGGAATCTGCTGGGGAGGACGAGGACGATGATGAAGAATAAGAAGAAGAGTGGCGGAGAGGAGGATGATACCCAAACTTCGGAACGAGAACCGGACGGGACATACAGAGGCCTGGCGAATCAGGCGAGTTACATACAAAAGAACCCGAACGCGCCGAATCGCAAGGTTGGGCCGATCAAGGCGCCGAGCAATATCAGGACGATTACGATTACTGATATGGCGCCTGATGTTTGCAAGGAGTGAGTAGTACCTCAGTGGTTCCCTTCCCTTTCCCTTTTCTCTATTCTATTCTACTCTACATCTTGCGTGACCTAGATAGTAGGCTAACCGCTTTTACCAACCAAAACAGCTACAAACAAACCGGCTTTTGCGGCTTCGGCGATAACTGCAAATTCCTCCACGCCCGCGAAGACTACGCCCACGGCTGGCAACTCGACAAAGAATGGGAGAACGTCACCAAGGGCAAGAAAAACCTTCAGGGCACCATTGTCGCCAGCGCCGACCGCAAAAAAAAGAAAAACGAAAAAGATGCCGCCGACGAAGACGACGCCGAAGCAGCCGAAGAAGCCCTCCTAGAAAACATCCCCTTCGCGTGTATCATCTGCCGCGGTCCTTATTCAAACTCGCCCGTCGTCACGCGCTGCGGGCATTACTTTTGCGAAGCGTGCGCGCTGAAAAGGTATCGTAAAGACCCCAGCTGCGCGGCGTGCGGGGCCGGGACGAACGGGGTGTTTAATGCGGCCAAGAGGCTGGCGAAGTTGTTGGAGAAGAAGAGGGCGAGGGCGGAGAGGTTGAGGAGGGAGGCGAGGGAGATGGGGGAGGAGGTTAGTGAGGAGGAGGAGGAGGATGGGGAAGAGGAGGAGGAGGATGGGGGGAGTGATTGAGGCGGATGATGTGGATGAGGTTGGCGTAGGTAGAGAGGAGAGTAGGAGAGAGAGAGAGGCGCTATAGAGGCGTAGCAGAAGAATGGCGGCTTATTGCAGGAAGGCCTCGATACCACCAGGCGTTAACATACCTAGATTTAATTTCATGGCCTTTGGAGCACCTTCAGTGCTTTCGAAATTGATCATACAGTTGTTTACGATATTTCTACATAAGTGTCAGTTGTATCCGAACAAAACTGGACCGGGTGGAATCATGGGCAATTTGTTGCGTCTTGAACAGAGACAAGCAGTTTCTGTCACCCAATGCCACCAACATTTTGGCAAAAAAAGAGTGGGCATTTCTCCATAGAACGCATACGCAAAACATGAAAAAAAGATGATGTTGTCCTGATAACTCGGGAACATCGGGAATTGAGCCCGACGTGGGGGTCGAACCCACAACCTTGAGATTAAGAGTCTCACGCTCTACCGATTGAGCTAGCCGGGCGGTTGTTAACCGCCTTGGATTGTTGAAGGACGCAGCCGAGTCATGCACACATATAGTAGCAATGATGATACTTTGTATTTCCTTATTCTCAATAACATTATTGTGTTCTGAATACCATCAACGCACTTCCAGGATTGAGTATTGTTGTCCATCCCTTAATCCGCCAGCCCAGTTATCCATTCCGTAGTACTCCATAGTCCATAATGCCCTATTACCCAACCCAAACCGGCCCGCGTTGAAGAGCATAACAAAAAGGGAGAAATGCTACCAGTTGCCCCAGTTAATGTCAAAAATGAGGACAATGACTCGAAGTGATCAGCAGCCTGACTTAGACACCCATGGTGAAGTCGTGCTCGATGCCGGGAGTGACGCTGGCAATGAACTAGAAGAGTAAAGGTCAGCACATGCATCACACTATGAATGGGCAAACAACGGGTTATAGGTAGACATACCTTCAGGAAGACCACCAGGTATTGATCCACACGAATGGCCACCTCCTGGTCGGCGACATCATGCGGAACCTCCTCCCACTCGGCATCTTCGCCGGGAGCGGCCTCGACAGCGTTCGCATGCGCCCCGCTGACATCCAACTTGTTAATCTCATCCACGAGACCTTCCATTCCCTGTTCGCTTCCGGAGACCTGACCGGCCTTCATCTTCTCACGGCGGAGCTTGAGAGCGGCATCAGCCCGATCCAGCAACGTCTTCATGACGGAGGCGTGACGGCAGGGGTGCACGCTGGCCATCTTGACGCTGTGAGAGAAGAAGGGGAAGTCTTCGAGTGTTACGGTCTTGTCCTTGTAGTCGCCGACGATATCCTCCATCATCAGATGAGGGGGAAGCGGTTGTCCGTTGGCGAGATACCCTGACATGTACATGCGTGGGCACTTGTAGGCGTTGGCGTAGGTAATGTAAAGGGTGTAGGTGCGCTTTCCACTGTAGGTAGGAGGCGGTCAAGTTAGCACATGTTCGACTGCTATCTCATGAACTGCAAAAGGGATGTGTGGATGTTATCTTACCTGTTCGAGTTATCGCCCTCAGCCCGGATGATGGCCTCGTCGTCATCGTCATCTTCCATATCGGGAATATCATCCTCATCCACAACCTCTCTATCGCCAACGTTGCCAGCATCGTCGATGTTGCGAACCTCTCGTACCCTAAGTGGCTGTGAGCTGGTCATGCTGCCGGTCCGCAACCAGCCGTCATCGTCGGCACCGCCCTTGTTGCCCTCAACGAGAGCCTCCTCGTGGCCCGCATCGCCAGCAAAGTCATCGTTCAAGCGTCGATGGCAGGGAACATGTCGTGTGACGAGGAACTGCTTTCCGGGTGGCAGGAATGGGAGGCGCTTGCTAGGTGAATCGGCATCGGCCCATGACCACGAAGGAAACTTAAAGGTGAGGTAGTCACCGGCGGCTACGAACTCTTCTGGGGTGATTTGCCCTGTGTTGCGGAATGTCGAGGTATGGCTGACGGGCGTGTACTTGTCGAGGAGGGTAGCAGCGGTTGATCTGAGGAAGTTCATCTTGAAATCGAGGGAATCGACGGGAAATCGATGGGAAATGCTGTAGTAACGCAGGTAAATCGATGGATGAAAAGGTTGACAGGAGACTTGGGCTTTCGGAGGCCCTCCTGACCGTCAAGGTGTTTGTTGTAGGCTGTCAAATGTGGACTTGGTTATGGGGGACAGGTGAAAGGCGGGGTGGGGTATGCTTCAGTTTCGTCTGTTGCACTGGCGGTCGCGATAAGGGTTGAACTCGATCGGATGCTAGGAGGATAATTTTGTTTGACGGTTGTGCGAGGGGGAAAAAAGAAGAGAAAGAACAGATTTGATCAGAGAACAAGCCGAGGATAAAGCATATCACAAAGCAGATGCCCGTGACGCGAACGACATAACACTTGGAGAATGAGGCTGCCACACGTCAAGTGACGAACACTGGGGAAGCCCGTGATAGTGACTGGGCAGGGGTGTGATGTGGATGACGGGATGAGGTGGCTCCTGGCTCACTGTTCAGTGAGGTGCCTGGGGGAAAAGGTGCGGGGGCCAGATAAAGCGCAGCGTTCACCCAGCGGTCTGCCCTGGCGAGGGTGCCTGCCGTAGAGGTAGGATACCTAGCCATCAAGGTACAATCTCGTGTACTCTATTTAGAGGTACGTCTGTTCCGGGCGAAGCTGCCTAAAGATAGAGGTACCTGTCAATAAGGTCCCTGAGGTGGGTACCTCTGACGAGCTCAGCGGGGTTTCAGACAAGTGGTACGCAGCCTCGATACCACAAGAAGTTGGTGCCTGTCCTGGAGATCTTCTTCGACCCCCATCTCCATGTGTGGCCTCGATCAAGAAGAGTTCAGAAGATTTGACAGCAGGCTGCCAGCGGGCAAGGGGTATTCAGGGATTCAAATGACGGCTTGGTCTCTAATGAATCTTAAATTAGCGGGCCGTCAATCGGGTCCTCTCTGCAATGTCCCCCACCGAAAGCCTCCGGCAATTCCATTGGCCATGATTGCCAAGGCGAGATGCTGGGAGCTGCGAGGCCGTAGGTGGCTGTACCCGGACGCCGTACGACCTTCCAGAACCTGGAACCTCCTGTTTCTTCTCCAACCGCAGGTGTCATAGCTCACTTTCCTGTTGGACCAAGTGGAAAGGCTGACGACGACGACGCCGACGACGACAAGACCGTCGCCGCGTGATATTCACGAGTCCTTCTCATCTATTGTTTAGCTTGGACTACTTCTCGTTCTTTAATTGAAACACCTGCAAAGCCGTGCGCCCAACGCTCAACCAGGACGGGTCGTTGTCGCATCCATAATAACTCGCCAACTGCCAACTGCATCTACACCTAATATAATCACCCTTTGACTGCCCAACATGGCGACCATACGAAGTCTCGATCATACCAAGTGCGTCCGTCCAAGTCATACCTCCCGAATGGCTCATGCGCATGTATACTGACCGATGCTGCCGCTGCACAGATCCGAAGCCGAACTGGCCATCAACATCAAAAAGGCCACCAGCGCCGAAGAGACAGCCCCGAAACGCAAACATGTTCGAAGTTGTATCGTATATACGTGGGACCACAAGTCCTCCCAGTCCTTCTGGGCAGGCATGAAGGTCCAGCCCATCATGGCCGACGAGGTCCAGACCTTCAAGGCCCTCATCACCATTCACAAGGTCCTCCAGGAGGGCCACCCGGCGACGCTGAGAGAGGCCATGGCAAACCGTGGTTGGATTGACAGCCTGAACCGCGGCATGGGCGGCGAAGGCATGCGTGGATATGGGCCCTTGATCAAGGAATACGTTTACTACCTCCTTGCGAAGCTTTCGTTCCATCAGCAACACCCCGAGTTCAACGGCACATTCGAATATGAGGAATACATCAGTCTCAAGGCCATCAACGATCCGAACGAGGGTTACGAAACCATCACCGACCTCATGACCCTTCAGGATAAGATTGACCAGTTCCAGAAGCTCATCTTCTCTCACTTCCGGAACGTCGGCAACAACGAGTGCAGGATATCAGCCCTGGTCCCTCTGGTCACCGAAAGCTATGGCATCTACAAGTTCATCACAAGCATGCTACGCGCCATGCACTCCTCCACTGGCGACGTCGATGCGTTAGAGCCGTTGCGCGGAAAATATGATGCCCAGCATTACCGACTAGTCAAGTTTTACTACGAGTGCTCAAACCTTCGCTACCTCACCAGTCTGATTACGATCCCCAAGCTTCCCCAGGATCCACCCAACCTCCTGGCTGAGGACGGGAACGCCCCTGCTTTGCCTGCTCGGCCAAAGCACGAAATCGAAAGGCGCCCGACGCCTCCGCCCCCAGCACCAAAATCCGAAGAGCCCGATGACATGGCCGAGTTCTGGAAGAATGAACTTGACAGGCAGAACCGGGAATACGAGGAGCAGCAACGGGTTTTGGAAGCACAGCAGCAGCAGGCGTTGCTAGCACAGCAGCAAGCGCAACTACAAGCACAACGCGATTTCGAAGAACAACAACGTCGGTTGATGGAGCAACAGCAAAGGGAGCAAGAGGCCTTGATGGCCCAGCAGTCACAATGGCAGGTTCAAGGTCGGCTTGCTGAGCTTGAACAGGAGAATCTGAATGCCCGAGCCCAGTACGAGCGTGATCAGCTGATGCTTCAGCAGTACGACCAAAGGGTCAAGGCTTTGGAAAGCGAGTTGTCACAGATCCAGGGTAACTACGGCCAGCAAATAAACAGCAGGGATGACCAGATTCGTGCTCTACAAGAACAACTCAACACTTGGAGGACAAAGTATGAAGCGCTTGCAAAGCTCTACTCCCAGCTTCGTCACGAGCATCTCGATCTCCTCCAAAAGTTCAAGACGGTGCAGCTCAAGGCGGCTTCCGCTCAGGAAGCGATTGAGAAGCGGGAGAAGCTTGAGCGTGAGATCAAGACCAAGAACTTGGAGCTGGCAGACATGATTCGGGAGCGCGATCGGGCCCTTCACGAAAAGGACAGGCTAACAGGCTCGAACAAGGACGAGGTTGAGAAGCTCAAGAGGGAGTTACGGATGGCCTTGGACCGCGCCGATAATCTCGAGCGGAGCAAGGGCAACGAGCTTTCTACGATGCTCTCCAAGTACAACCGCGAGATGGCCGATCTGGAGGAAGCTTTGCGTATCAAGTCACGAGCACTCGAAGAAGCGCAAGCCAAGCTACGGGACGGCAGCTCAGATCTTGAAGCGTTGCTTCGCGAGAAGGAGGAGGAGCTCGAGGTTTACAAGGCTGGCATGGACCAGACATTGATCGAGCTCAATGAGCTCAGGAACAATCAGGGTGTCTCCGATTCAGCCCTCGACGGTCAGCTCGACGCGTTGATCCTCTCACAGCTGGAGAAGGTCAACGAGATCATCGACTCTGTGCTTCAAGCGAGCGTTCAGCGTGTCGATGATGCCATGTATGAGCTCGACTCCACCATGCAAGCCGGAAACCAGAATGCCTCGCCTTCCTATGTTCTCTCGCAAATTGAAAAGGCGTCTGCCAGTGCCACGGAGTTTGCTACCGCTTTCAACGTTTTCATTGCCGACGGTCCCAGCAGCAGCCCGGCGGAGCTCATCAAGAACGCCAACGTTTTCGCTGGCGCCATCGCGGATGTGTGCAGCAACACCAAGGGTCTCGTTCGCCTCGCTACTGACGAGAAGAAGAGTGACTCCTTGATCAACGGTGCTCGTTCATCTGCCCATTCGACAGTCAAGTTCTTCCGCGGTCTGTTGAGCTTCCGCCTTGAGGGCATGGATCCCCTTCAGAAGACAGATGTTGTCATCAACAGCAACAACGATGTCCAGATCAACCTGCAAAAGCTGAACAAGCTTGTCGAGACCTTCGCCCCTGGCTTCGGTCAGCTCGCTAACAAGGGTGACCTTGGAGACATCGTCGATCAAGAACTCAGCAAGGCGGCCGATGCCATTGCTGCTGCCGTTGCCCGTTTGCAGAAGCTCAAGAACAAGCCTCGCGATGGCTATACTACCTACGAACTCAAGGTCCACGACTCGATCCTTGATGCCGCCATGGCCATTACTACCGCTATTGCGCAGCTCATCAAGGCCGCCACCGCTACACAGCAGGAGATTGTACAGGCTGGCCGTGGCTCGTCTTCGCGTACCGCCTTCTACAAGAAGAACAACAGATGGACCGAGGGTCTCATTTCCGCCGCCAAGGCTGTTGCCGACTCTACCAGCACTCTCATCGAGACTGCCGACGGTGTTCTTTCCAACCGCAACAGCCCCGAGCAGCTCATCGTTGCATCTAATAATGTTGCGGCCTCCACCGCCCAGCTTGTGGCTGCCAGCCGTGTGAAGGCCGGCTTCATGAGCAAGAACCAGGAGAACCTGGAGCAAGCCAGCAAGGCTGTCGGTGCCGCCTGCCGTGCGCTCGTCAGACAGGTCCAGAGCATGATCAAGGACCGCAATGCCGAGGAGGAGCAAGTGGACTACAGCAAGCTTGGGTCGCACGAGTTCAAGGTGCGCGAGATGGAGCAACAGGTACGTATTTTCTTCCCGACTTCCTTCGTTTTCTGTTTCCGGCATCCCTTGCCTTTCGTAGATTCCTTGCTGACTATGTCCTTCTCTGCCACACACAGGTCGAAATTTTGCAACTCGAAAACGCATTGAATGCTGCTCGCAGCAGACTCGGCGAAATGCGCAAGATCTCGTATCAACAGGACGAGGACGAGGATTAATCGGCCCGCAACACATGGTGGTGCTAGGGTATACCCGGTGGCTTCGTTCCTCTCGCTGGCTTCACGCTTCAGTGCGCGGCGTGGGCACATACACCCGACCAGATCCTCTTCCTCATTTTGTTCTCGTCCCGCAATGTCTTCCAAAATATTCACCAGACGTCTTTATATCTTAGCAATGTGCTATGTACCCCCTCTGTACCTAGTTCGGATTCCTTTTTGGAGATGTCATCAGGTGTTAGTGTTAAACTTAATTCACTTACCTTGTTCTTTTTGGTCCGCTGAGTCGTAAACTGAATGGGATGGCCTGGGGCTTGGATTTGTTCCGCTCGCTCTTCGGGTGGCTTTTTTTTTTTTGCACAACATGGGCAAAACGCCACCCCCGCTGTCATCATGTCGGTTTCCGTTGCTTTACTTCTCGTGTGAAATGTTCGTTTTCTGTGGTTTCGACTTTCCCGTTCGCTGGTCGCTGCTCGCCGCTCGTTTGGTCAATCGGTCGATCGGTCACCGAGAGAGTTCCCCATATGTGTCGAGAGTGGATAGACGATCGAGTTTCGCGCTGCTGTGTATCGCCCCGTGTTCCTCCTCCTCTTCTGTTCCCCTTCCCAGTCAACGTTTCGAGCCCTCAGCTGTTTAGTTTGCGCACCTTGTTGTATGTCGTCCATATCTCTCCTTCCGTTTCGCTTTTCCGTCGCTGTCTCGCTCGTCAGATCGTCCTCGGTGGTCATTTGCGTTCGTGAAGCTTGAAAGGTTTTATTCGAGATCGTTTCCGTCGTTTCGCCCGGTCCAGTTGCTGGTCCCCATCCCTTCTTTTTCCTCGCGTCTGCCTGAAAGTGTCGTCCCTGCTTCTCCCTTCATCCCCCCTCCCTCCCATCTTGATTTGCTTTTCCTCCTTCTCATCCTCGCAGGCCGTACCGAAGCACGGCCGCCAGTCTTTCCCGCTTCCCCCTCCCCCCCGGTCGGTTGGCGTTTATCTTCAGTTATCCCGGTGCAGCTTCGGAGTCGTCGTTGGCGTACTAGCCGACCGCTTGGATAGATAGATGGTGGATGGATCGATGGATAAGTACCAATGCCAGGTTCCGAGGGTTGGGTGGTGATTGCTGCGGACGGAAGGGTATGATGTCCAAGAACAGAACATTCTTGCCTTCTCAGCCAAGGTTTCTTTTTCTCTTTCCTCTTGTTTCTTTCTTCGATGAATCGAAGTCCCAAATCCCAGATCCTACCCCCGTCCTTCGCCTCGTTTGCCTGGACCGCCACTGGTTGTGATGCTGTTGGAGATGTCGGGGGGTTCTCATGGGGATCGTGTTCGCCGTTGCCTTGGGGTTCGGTTTTGAGGGTCGTGGTTTGTAGGATGGTAGACGAGGGCGCGTCAAGCGAGAGTAGGTGGTGTTAAAGGAGGGGTGGGAAGTTTACGGAGTCTCTGTGTTGAACTGTATATCAGTCTATCCAGAACTTTTCCTGCGCAAATTTCGATGGGAAAGCGGTGACTCAGGGAGGGTGGAACTCGGTGACCCCGTCGATGCATTGAGTGGGAATGTACCTCCTCTATGAACACTTACCAGATGGACATACGCCTGGAACATAGTGTATAGTGTTCATTCTGGATCACCTCCTCAAGACCCGCTTGCACAATATTAAGGCAAAGAGCCCGCACATGTATGAACAATTCATCCCACTGTTATCATGCTTCAAGGACCACAATACTAAGGACCCTTCTCGCATATAACCAATAAATTTACTGTACGACGTTTGTATATCTGATTGATTGGCTCGGTTGCCAGAACATACGTACATAGATCCCATCCTTCTGTGGGCCACGGAGAAACTGTACGACAAAGCGAATGAGCAAATGGAAAGTTCCAAGATTTGTCGCGAACCAGAATGCCTGTTTGTTCTCCTTCCTTTTCACTCTTTTTTCGGTTTCTTTTGAAGCCATGTGATAAAATTTGCCTGTAAAGCAATTACAAGACGACAAGAGAAGGAAGGAAGAACAAAAGGAAAATAAGCTGCCGACCACAGTAAACAGGCGCTGCTCTGAGCTGGAGGATTTGAAGGATCTGTTAAGTTGACGTGCCCAGCCCCCTGCTCTCTCTTTACCTCTCTTTCCTCAGATAACTACTGCCGAATTTTATTCCACGCAAATTACATATTCCAGAAGTGACGAAGTCGGGAACGGAGCAACCTAGCTCCCGTTTAGGTCCACAGCGGAAGGCTAAATGAAGGGATTCCCCCAACGACATCAAAAAATTTTGGCTAAGAGTTATGGAGGCATCAGTCAGTCTGATCTGGTTATACCCGAGGACAAAAAGAAAATGTGGACATCCATCTGACGGTGAGCTTTGCTTCATGACTTTACCGCTGTCTACAAGTGATCGAGAAAGACTTACACGGGCCCCATCCAAAGCTTCTCCAACATGCCAGATTCAGGTGTTTGTGATTGTCTTGAAATGAGCAAGACAAGCGTTAATCATGTTAAAAGACAGATCCCTGTTCCCATGTTGTGTGATGGCAGGGTTAACGTGTCACGAAAACAGGCGGCAACAACGTGTTTCTAGGTCAGCCGACATTTGAGAAAAATACGCTTCGACGCCATATTATCAAACAGAGCAGCAAACAGACAATCAAAGCGCAAGGGAGAGGTTAAAATGAGAATCAAGGGGGGATCTGTAAGGCACGCTAAATAATTTAGGGACTACTTTGTGAGGTGTCACTTCTCATAATGTGTAAGCTTGCTGTGAAGCGATTGTGACGGAAAGCTTTTCCTGCAGTCAGGGCGATAAGTTTGATTGACTGGTGGCAACCAATTGCTGACCTACTGCTATCCTTCGTCAACTTCATACTGGGTGAGATGCGAATCTAAAAGCTGGTGGAGTTTCTTTTCTGTCAGACTTGTTGCCAGAAATGACATGGAATTTCCGGAAAAGCAAGCCGCTCAGCACCCGGTCCGCCACTGGTGTATGTTCGAAGACACCACAAGAGAGGTTCGTATTGCAAGTACCATGTTTAAGCAAGAAGCGGCTTGACGAGGTTTGGGCTAGAGTGCTGTGGTGAGATTGGAAGAGAGCAGCATCGGAGATCCAAGAAGTTGTATGCTGGTAATATACTGCACGAGGCTGTCGAGAACCCTCACTGACCTTGCACGGACCCCTTGCACCCTCGATTCTGCTCACTTGGTTTTCAATAGTACACAGTAAAACGGCAAGGCGGGCAGCTGGGGTGCGAAGGTTATCTGCGCCAGGGGCAGGGTTTCGGGAGTCTGCGACGGAACCGTACAAACACCCGATCAACCGAACGCCCGAAAGAACGGCACCGACAAAGCGTGAGAATTCGGTATGCGAGGTACGAAGGTGAAATACTGCGTACATAATTAACCGGCCTTGTCTTTGTGACAAAGCGAAGGGTGAATGTTGCAGAATCTTGTTGTCGTGGGCTTGATTGTGGACGAAGTGGAAGAATGGAAGGTCGGCACCGCCGACAAAGTAGCACCCCGCAGTGTACCGTATAAACTCCAAAATTGGGACTCGGGAATATATGCAACCTGCCAGCTTTAGGTAGAATCCATGTTGCAGACTGCGGTATCTTATCAATGAACCCAAGCCCTAACGTACTCTCCAGTGCGTCCAGTTGCTTTGTGTGCTTATCTCTGGCAGAATCGGCACATTCCCGAGTCCCAATTTCTCGAGTTTCTACGGTACGAGGGTACTGCGTACTATGGCGAAATATACATCTGGAGAGCGGCACGCAAGGGACTTCAAGTCTTCAACAGGCCGGGATTAAAGGACGAGACAAGAATTGTCCAATCAAAGTGTGCGGGGCTCTAACCCCGGGCCCCGCTTGGACTGTGCTCCCACTTTGTGGTCAATTCCTCAATTCATTCATGGGCAGAATATCAACCTGTTTTAGAATGCCAAGCAGCAGAAATGGAGCGAAGACAGCATTTCCGTGACCCTTTAAGCAGCAGACCGAGTTGTCCGTGATTGCATTAGTAGCTATACTCCTGTCTCTGATACCGCATTGCAATAGGGTCCTCTACTTCCATTGTATTCCATGCTGTCAATTGCGGAAGTGAAGCTACCTTGTAACAACTCGTCATGGGTTTCGCGACAGATACGAGTTTTGCCTGGAGTGTGTGTACTTGGTACATCCGAGCTGTACCGCTAGCTCCACTCTTCCACTTCCATCGGTGCCAGCACACCCCGCCGCTGCGCTTCAAATTGTCGAAACTACAAGTGGGTCTTGCCGGTAGCTCATAAGTGATTTCGCACGCTATACTGTGTACTTCGCTACTTACCATTACTTCCCTTAGGTAGCTCGTAGTTGATGATGTAGTGTTGGATGGAAGATTAGTAGGCGGATAGAAACTCCTCAGTTCGGTACTAATGGGTTACCTGGCCTTAGAGGTATCTGATGAGAAGGTTACTCCAGGTACTTGCAGCAACACCGGGGAGAATTTGCCCAGAAGCCTTTTGACAACCCTGAATGGTCGAGACGAAGTTCTAAACGGTTGCAACTCGCGAGAGTCCACATTGGTGCATTCCGGTCCCGCCGGTTGAAGTGGTCCCATTCACTCTCCAGCGGAAAGACACTGTGCTGTCCGTGCTCCCGTCTGCTTGCGGAGATGCTTCATGGAACCTCAATACCTAGCAGTGCTACCTGAGGAACAGCACCAGCGGACCCTCACCAGGAAAAAAGCAGCGAACAACCCTGCAAGGCCCGCCATGCAGCACTGATGGGGGCCACAGCTCCCGCATTGCCCCAATTTTGCGGCTGAAGCATTCAGCGCAGCGAGGTTGCATGCATAAGCGTTGGCGTCAGCGGCGGGCCTGTTTCTTTATCTCAACGACATGTCAAATTGCTGCGTACACTTGAAGCGGCATTCTCTTCTTACTTGTATACCTCGATGTTAACTCCCGCTCATTAACGACGGATTTCTCTGCAACTTGTTACTCTGTGTTTCTCCTCGTGTGCTACAGTTATTATCGTTCGCGGTCCGTGGTCCAGACCTGTCACTTCCTTCGCAATCCGGTTCAGCGCGGTCGGTCCCGTGGTATACTTCCTGACGCCTCATCAGTCTTCTTTGAAGGATGATGTTCGCTAGCACATAGCTTGCTTTGTTGAAATACTTCGACGGGCGCTGATCCATAAAGAGATCACAGTAGCGTGTGCACGGGAGAAGTCTGTGGCGATCTATCAGGACACCAACTCGGATAAATGCTTTATTGATGTCCATTGGCGTATTCGGTGAGTCAGCAATCTATGCTCTATGATGGGCTAGTAAATGGACCATCAAGAAAGAAAGAGAGTGTCTTGCGAGGCCTGAAGCCTCATACAGAACAGGGTTCTGTCGCCCAGATTCCAAGTGGTGTAGTGTTTCTACCATACTGAGCCGGATCAAACCCCTGGAATGGTGTTGAGGAACCAGTTCTGCTTTCCATGCCTCCCCTTGCCCAATTCAACCATGTTGAATGTCGTGGGGTGAGAATATCTCAGATGACCAGTTTCGAATTTCAAACCCCTGTCACACCCCTACGAAGTATTCTCATTTCTCAAAAAGTTTTAAGAATATTCTAATCAATGTGTCCATAGAGACCACCTGCGCCAGTGTCCTGACTTAATCTTGGAATGATCGATATTGAGTTGGAGCCGAGACCATCATCTTGGTATTCATCTTCGCTCTGCTCTCTTCTAGGTTCCGTCTACAAACTGGGATTACCTTCTCGAGACACTCTTAGCTTGTGTGTCTGTAAAGCTCAACGACGTAACCAAACAGGCAAGCCCAATTGAGCCAAGATCCCTCAAAAGTGATTATGCTTCGAGCCATGTTTGTCCGCAATCTGCCCTTGTACAATTGAGCTTCCAGCGTTACAGCATGTGCAGTCATCGCCATTCTGGCCAGCACGATGGGATCTCTGATATGGGACGGTGTGCAACAAAATCCAGACATTTCTCGCCTGATATCTGCTTGATCATCGCTCGCCGTGCGGGCTGCCGAGGACCGTCGTAAGGGTCTGAACCGCCAAAACCATCATGACCACGACTCACGAAGTGATCGCCATCTGACAGATTTGGTAAACTTACCTTCACTTCGATTTACAAGATGCTGCCAAGTCACTCTACTTCTTGGATCCAGTGAAGGAGAACCACGCCACAAAGCGTCTCCTGCCCCACTCCCAGCCGTTGCTCTCCCAAACTCTGAATAGAGAAAGTTATTCAGGCCCAAAACAGGAGGGGCTGGACCTTACCGGTGACTTGGGATGAAAACCAGTTTGCCAAAAGAGAACCACTCCAGCCAATGATTGGGCTTGCATCGAATCCCCCGAGCCATTCACCGGCCAGTGAATGCTATTCAGGGCCGTGTCAATAGCCGTCAATAGACAAAGCGGTTCCACCCAAAAATCCCGACGTCGTTGCCCCTCCTTATAATCTCCCTCCCTTCCAATTCTTCCTTCTTCCCACTCCTTACATTCCTCCGTCAACTTCGCAACAATAGTCGACAATCACGACCAATCTTCGCCATCAACTCATTTCTCCCTCCCACAATCAATCGCCCAAGTCTTTGACAATCTCAAGCATCAGCCTTCTGCATCGTCAACGAACAATCAATCGACACAATGGACGGCAACTTGACGCACCCCGCTCCGGACGTCACGACCACCTTGGCTTGGTCGCGCATCTCGAACCAACTCGGACACTGGAACGACCGCAAAGTCATTGCCATTCCTCTGAGCGACTTCCTTAACACCGACCCTGTCACTCAGTCTGGCATCATCGCCAGCTTCAAGTAAGTGTCCTCACCCATTTCTCACCTTACCTTGTACTGACCATTTGCACCAGGAAAGCGACTGGTGAAGAGGGCATGTTTGCTCGCGATCCCGAGTCACTGGGAATCATGCTTCTTGGCCCCGCCAAGCTGTTCAAGCCCGATGGTGTCGTCGTCGACGGCAACCTTTTCTGGGATCCCAAGGGCATCCATGCTTCGGCACCCAAGGAGCAGCAGAAGAAGGTCAAGATTCCTCGCCCTCCCAACGCCTACATCTTGTACCGAAAGGACCATCATCGTGAGATCCGCGAGCGGAACCCCGGACTCCACAACAACGAGATTTGTAAGTTTCTTGTCACCATGACCTATAACGTTTGACCCTGAGACTAACCTCACTTAGCGGTCATCGTCGGCAACATGTGGCGTGATGAGCAGCCGCACATTCGCGAGAAATATTTCAACATGGCCAATGAGATCAAGACCAGACTGTTGCTGGAGCATCCCGACTATCGCTACGCTCCACGTCGGCCTCAAGACATTCGCAGGCGCGTCTCGCCGTATCTCAAGATCAAGCTCCTCAACTATGACGCTCATGGCAACCTTCTTTGGGGCACCGTCAACGGCGAGGATGCTGCGCTAATTCGGACTCATTTCCACGGAGTCGTTCGTGTTGAGGAAATGGATGATGGCTGCAGAATTGTCTGCCGTCCCGTCGCAGGATCTAGAAAACTTCGCGCCGCCGTTGTCGACACATGGATGCCTCGCTATACGGTTGATCCAACCCCCCCCGCTGAGGACGACGATGCCGCGGCACAGGCTTTCAACTTCAACGACCCCATGGACCCCTTGGCCGGCGCTTATTTCCCTGTGAATGATCACCTCTGGGTCACCGTCAACCAAACCCCTCCCTTCAATGCCCCTCCCCCCAATCCCCACCCACACCTGGGTTTCGTTCACCCCGACGGCATGGAGGCAGTTATTCACAACGTTCAGGACATGATTGCCCAGGTCCAGGAGGCCAATCAGGCTGCTGCCGCTAACGCCACCTCCGCTACCACCGCTGCGCCTGCCGTCACTCAGGTTATGGCTGACAATACCATCAACCCAGCCCTCATTCCCACTGTGAACACTAATGCGACCGTTCTTCCTCACGTCCACACCATTCCCGACAACGCCACCGTCACGCCTTCCGCCACTGGAAATTCGGTTCACGTTGTTACACCCGGTCACCAGGGGTATCACCTCATCAACTGGCCCCCGCTGTCCAGTGAAAACATGGATACCGAGGACTGAGGTAGGCGTTGCGTTGCTGTCACAAGGGACCAGTTTCTGTTTTTTCCGACACATTCTATCAGTGCGGTTCAGCAGCATCATCAGTCTCGATCCGTCTATTCCATCAGCCATTTCAATCAGCAGCTGGATCTCAGTTTTGACATCACCGCAAAGTCACCTGCCTCGTCCTTCTTGGGTTTGGCTCTCAGACTTTTGCATACGACGACAAGACTTTGACGCCGGCATGGATACAGCAAGCAACAACGGTCTCGGTTTCTTTTTTCTCATGGTTCGCATTTCCTTATTTGTTCTTTGTCAGAGTCACAGCAAGCACACATCTTTCTCGACAGTCCGCACTGGTCTCATCGGCACTAACTCATCCATACTTTTGGCGTCTGTTTCTTCTTCGTCATCTCACCGTTCACGGTAAAGGGATCTTAGCAGAAAACGGGGGGTGCGACATATGCACTGGGTCGGTCAGAAGGGGCTTAACAGTCAACAGTCTTTTTTCAGGAGGAAGCAGCATGGTGCACATCTCATTTGCATTTCGGTTCGGTTCGGTAAAAGGTATCTCAAGGTACCACACAAGTCACATGGCGGAGGGCATAATGGGTTGGCTTTGGTCTTTTTCACATCAGGGAGGGACAGGTCTGGTTTGTTTTTGCATGGCATGGCGCAAGGTCAATGATATCCAAGGGGGTCGGTTTCTGGTCTCATTTTATGGTTTCTTTTCCTTTGTTGCTAGCATATAGGAGCGCGGGGTGGCTGGCGCATCATGGTTCTTTCATCAAAGTCTCCGGGGATTCGGGGCTTATTTCGCTCGTCTAGGTAGCACAGGTAGATCACAAAAAAAAATAAGCATTATTAAAAAAACCCAACCTCTTCGTCCGTATGTCCTTGTGACATTCATTCGCTTGACAAAGTCTGCTTTGCTTGCTTGTGTCCGCTGTGCTTCAAGCTGTCCCGTCTTTCCGTCGGTTGGCCTTGCTGCTTTGTCTGTCTCCCGCTTCGTGCTGTGAGAGGGACGGAGCGATACGTCAAACATGCCAGCCCGAGAGTATCACCAGTAGAGGGCAGCGGCTCATTCCCTAAATACAAATCACGAGGAGGCGGAGAAGCTGCGGAATAGTAAACGGACATGGGCTTCGGGACAATTCGCATGTGTGCTATCAGGAGACATACAACCGCATTCAACCACCTGCAGGATAGGAAGATTGGATCTTAGGAGTATCTCTCATTGTCATTATCTGCAACGCCTCAATCTCCAGCCCTCAACCAATCCGTCCTCCTCCTTGCCGCGGGCGCCTCTGCCCATATCAAGAGCAGCCTCTCTTCCGTCCCCTCGGGCTGGAAGAAGAATCGCCCCGCCTCCGCTGACGAGAGCGTCTCGCTCAAGATCGTCCTCCCATTGCAATGTTATCCAATACGACCTGAGACCGCCTACTGCCGCCCACTCCAGTCACTGCTCCATATGAACGTCTTGCATCGAAACTCCGTGCCCGTTTCCTTGTCGCCGGACGGTCCGAGGGGTCGAGCGCACATGTAGAAGGATCGGCCTGTAATGAGACGAGAATCAAGGAGTGTTAGCTTGAGGTCGTCAGACTGGTTCAAGGGAGGGAGGGAAGGAAGGAAGGAAGGAGGGCAATCGAAAGAAGACAAGAGGAGGAAAACAAGAACATCACATACCGCAGTTGATCCCCGGCTTCTTGGTCACCAAGCTCTGGCAATCGTCGCCGTGCTCACACTTGGGAACGACCCTCTTGCCAAGCAGCTTCGACCAAGACTCTTTGTTCTGGATGGGGTCGAAGACCGTTTTTCTTTTGCCTTCGTCCTCCATGGCGGTGTCGGTTGCTTTGTGTTTGGCCGGGCTGGTCTTGGATTCGACGGCGTCTTCGTCCCATTCTTCTATATCGTCGGCTTCGAAGGATCGCTTTGGTTGGCTTCCTTTCGCTGGAGATGGCTCGTTTCGCGTTGTTGTTTCGGCTATCGTTGCGGGAGAGTGATTGTTTCCGTTTATAGGGGAAGGTCGTTCCTCTGGGTTGAGAGTTGGAGTTGGAGTCTTCGGCTTGAAGAAGCCCATGAGCGTACTTTGCGATGGGCCTGGCCCGGTTTTCGAGGATGGCTGCTTGGAGAGGGCCGCCTTGACTTTCTTCTGTGGCCTAATGGATGATGCCGGTTGTTCAGCTCGTCTCTTTGGGCCGGGGGATGTTTGCGACAATGCTGGCTCTGTTGTAGTTGACTGAGATAACGACTGCTTCGGCGATGGTGCGGAGCTCGCGGCCTCCTGTAGTGCAGCACTGGCATGCGCTGTGGTGGAAGATGTATTGGTAGGATCAGAAGTGTCTTGGCTGTCGGCAGCCGGGGTGGCTGACTTGGGTGTGGTGGACGGGGTTTTCCTCTTGAAGAACATGTCCTTGATGCTCTGCCGTCGGTCAAACTCTGGAATGAGCTTCGCCGAGGTAGGCAGACAGTCCTTTTGGGACCATTCACGCTGGCGTTGACCGTCCTTGAACATGCCCTCCGGATTCACTATGTCTGTGATGGGAATGGTGGTACCATCTTTGCTGACAGTATCGCCAATGGTGGCATAGACCGGGCAGTGATCAGATCCCAAGAGGCCTTCCTGAATGTTGGCGTCGATAAACCAGTCTTTGATTCCGGAGGAACAGAGGACGTAGTCGATCCGGCTACCAAAGTTTCCGGGCCTTGCGTTCTTCCTTGTTTCCCAGCAGGTGTACATGCCCGGTCGCCTTGGATGGAACTCTCTGCAGAGATCCCAAAGAACGGGCTTCTCTCGCCCCTCGTCTGGCTCACCGATCACTCGGCCACCGAAGACGATTTGGTTCAAGAAGCGGCGTGAAGGGGTCGAGATGAAGTCGTCGAGTGTCATAGCCTCCTTTTTCAACCGTTCTGGTAGGCCGGCGGTATCCATTTCGTTTCGGATGATGTTGAGGTCGCCGCAAAGGAATACCCCCTTCCCCATGGAGACAAGGTTACGAACTCTGGCGTCCATGGCGTCGATGAAGGCCTGACGGAACTCGGTCCTGGTCTCATCTCGCGTAGCCGGGCTGTATACACCGATAAGAACAAAGGCAGGGAACTCTAAGATGACACATCTTCCTTCGGAGTCGAGTTGAGCTTCATCTATGTCGCTGGAGAGCTGGCCGGGAGTGGGATAACCGCCAATCTGCTGATCGGCGGGCAGGTCGCGAAACTTTGTGGACGAGTTCGGTGGGCACAGGACGCCAGTAATGCCTTCTTCGGCGCGTATCGGGCAGCATTTCGAGGAACGAGCGTAGATTGCAACTCCCGAGTAACCCTTCTTGTACTTGGGTAAGCTGAAATACACATCCCAGCCAGGGACGAGGACCATGTCGTCTCTCAAGTCTTTCCGCTGAATCTTGGTCTCCTGCATGACCACAATATCGGCTTCCAAGGTGTCGAACATGGCCTGAAACGTGCGATTCTCCCGCCATGGCTGGTAACTGAATGGATTTCTTGGAATGGGGTCAGAGCTGGTTCATAATGGCAACTTGTCGTGTTGGGACTGACCTGATACCATTCACTACACGTTTGTTTGCGTTAGACAAGGCAAGAAGCAGCAAAAACACGCGAAAGGATCTCACCATTCCACGTCGTGATCCGTAACCCCATTTTCAGATCTTCGTTCGGTGATGCTCAAGGGAGCTGTCCTCATACAACCAGGGTTAGGGGTACAATAGAGTCACTTTGGTCGCCGGATGCGGTGCTGGAAATTGCAGAGGCCACACGAGATGCAGAGGAGGGACATGGGCTGTCGTCTCAGTTTTTGGCTTTGCATGAGCAATTGTTCAGGTCTCGGGATCTTGACCAGAATGGAACCAACAAGACTTTTACCGGGAACAATTATGTTTCCCTCACGTCGCTACATGCACCGATATCTCGAGTCTCTTGGAGTTTGCCACAACTCGATATGGACGCCGCGAACTGGTCGTTTGTCGTCTGTCGTTTGCCGCGTCCACAAGCGAACGACTGGCTCGTGCGTTCCAATTGCGCCGTTGAATGCGGCGGTCCACCCTTTGGAGCACACGAAGTCACCTGACAGGCAGCTGCTCACTGCCAAGACAGCTTTCGTCATTCCGACCGTTGGCGCAAGCTTTCAACGGGGAACGTGCAGCTAACAGTGTGGCTTGAGCCTGACCGCCTTTGCACTCCAGCCACACCTCATGGACAGCCGCAGCCCACCCACCCGAGGTCGAGCCGAGCAATGAGCTGATCGGTCTCTGACCTCAGAGCTTCGCACCCGGAGTCACGAGAAGCCGCCAAGCGCAGGAGGGAAAAAGTGGGGCCCGTTGCTACAACCTTTGCTGCTGATTCCGCATCCACCTCGTTACCACTCCTCCAACACCACCTGTAATCGACCACAACGAATACGGACACCATGTTCGCCCAACGCCAGATGTTCTTCGCGCGCCTCGCCGCCAACCTCCGCGCCCCCGCGGTCCGCCAGACCGTCCAGCGCCGCTTCGCCAGCACCCCTGCTACCGACTCCGGCAAGAACGCCTTCGTCCGCGAGCGTGAGAACGTCAAGAAGCACGCCGCTGAGACCATGGGTGCGCCCTAACCCACCACCCGCCCTTGTCAATTGCCAAACACGAATATCGATGGACGGGAATGCTAACCGGGAGTCACCATACAGAGCTCTGGCGCAAGATCTCCCTCTAGTATGCGCATTCCCTCTCCTCCCCCCAAATCCCCGTTGCGTGGTTTTTCCCGGATGGATCCCCCGAGCTCTGAAGGAGCTGGAGCTCCAACTAGCTCCAACGAAGCTCCACCGAGCTCCAACGGAAGCTCGACTTCAACTACGAACGCATGACAACAACGTCATAGCCGACGCGCACCGCCGAGAAGCACGAAGGGGGATCAACAGTCAACACCTACGGAATGCTTGATGGCGTGAGGGACAGAAAAGGGGAACGGGAACACGATAAGCTAACGAAACTCACCCTTTCTCCCAGCGGCATCCCCCCTGCTCTTGCCCTCGCCGGCTACAACGCCTACACCCTCTACAACGAGCATTGGGAGCACTGGTCCCACCTCCCTCCCCTTGAGGAGCGCACCGAGTACCCCTACCAGAACATCCGCACCCGCAACTACCCCTGGGGCGATGGTGACAAGACTCTCTTGTACGTTCAACCCAACCGAAGCTCGCACAGCCGAGCTTCCCTGCATGGCCTCTCTGAACCTTGAAGGAGCTTTGAGCGAGCCGAGCCCCATCGATGGAGCTCCATTCTATGGCAACAAGTACTAACCCGAAACCAACCCTGTTTAGCTGGAACGAGTCTGTCAACTACCACAACCGCGACAAGGTCACGTAAGTGGCTTGTTAATGCGAGCTTCACAACCACCACGCTTGCCCTTGCTTGCTAGACTGGCATCATCCCTGGATTTTTGGTATAACAAAGAAAGATGGGACAAGAAGCAAACTACAGCTAGCATGTAGTTAGAGCACGCGGAACGGAACTGTGAATAGAAGATGTGGAAGGGAAGGACATGAAGAGTGCTAGAGGCACCATCACGTCCATCCATCCTCAAATGAATATATCCTTTTTACTGCATTATGAGATCAAGCCCTGTAAAGGCATGCCATTGACATCCATATGACCTCATCCTTGATGGAATCCTATGTCTAGGATGAGAACAGTCTGTTCTACTGCTATTGTTGGGGGACGCCATGAGACAAAGTGCAATGAGCCTTGATAGTTTCCATCCATTTCTACTAGGGATTTAAAGACACAACAAGAGGCTCACACTCGGGCATCTATCAATGAAATCAAACATCTGACTCCATGGCCAGCAACAGTATCTTTTCCATTCATCATCAAGTCATTACAACCGAACTGCCCCATAAGGGTTCCGAACGAAGCTTCATTGAGCTCAATCCAAACCACGTCACAGCTTACAAGATCCTCCTTTGCCTTATCCGTCCATCACAAGTTAGAATGATCACCCGATGAGCTCTGCCTCCTCAAAGCCATATACCGCGCCGCAAATTCCTCCGCTCGAGCATCATCTCCCAGCACCTTCATCAGCGTCGCCCTCTTCGCCAACGTCTCGCACTGCTTCTCCAGATCTTCCGCTGCAGAGAAGTGGTTGAACGCACACTCCAGCGCCTCATGTGCCTTTGTAAAGAGTTCGGTTCGTTGGTTGTTCATCAAGCTCGCCGCCGCCGCCGCCGCTCCTGTTGTTTCTCCCATCGTCGTCGCCGCCTGCCTAGCCTTTCCAGCCTTTCCAGCCTGTCCCATCCTGGCGTCCGCTAGGATGCTGTACAGCATGCCCGTGTTGAAGGCATTCTCCGACTCCATCGAGCGCGGCAGCACGGCTTCCACGAGCTGCACCGCGGCAGGGAACTCGCTCATCGCGTTCAGAATATTGGCCAGTGCGCCCACCGCCTGCCATAGGAGCGTGAGCAGCCGTGCCCGCCACGCAAGGCTGGCTGCGCGCATGGTAATCGAGAATCCTCGTTCCGGCCTGCCCATGCAATCAAAGAGATGCGCCTTGGCCAGCAGCAGCCGAATACGCAGCGACAAGTCCCGGTGGTCGTCGCGGCACTTGGCGATCAGCCGCTCGATCTTCTCGTACGCGGCGTCAAAGTCCTTGCGCCGGATCAGCGCCTCGATGTGCAGCGAGTCGATGATGAACACCACGTCCGGGTCGAGCTCCTCGGAGCCGACCTGCAGCAGCTGCGCGAGCAGCGTCTCGGCCGTGTCGAGGTCGTTGTGATGCAGGGCGCGCCGCAGCTTGACGAGCCCGCGGTAGAGGTGCCAGTACTGATTTGGTTTGGCGGCGCGGAGCGAGTTCTTGTCGATGCCGTCCTCGAGCTTGGCGAAGGCTTCGTCGTACTTGCCCTTGCCGGCAAGGATGCCGGCTAGCCGGCAGACCATCTTGAGCTCGTCGTCGAAGCAGGCGCTGGGGGCGTGCACGCGCAGAAAGACTTCGCTGGTCATGCTGGAGAGGTAGGAGATGCCGAGTCGGTCCCAGAGCGAGGTGGTGACGGATAGTTGCGAGCCGAAGAGGCTCTTCATGTTTCTTTCGACGATGATCTGCGAACTGCGCACGATATGCTCCATAGCGCCGGCAATGCTTTCGCCGTTGGCCATGTTGAGCTTGGCTTCGCTGAGGAGGGCGGAACTCCGGAGCACGAGCATGCCGGTTTCTTTGGCTTTCGCTCGGAGGAAGGCGAGAGCTTCCTTGCCGCTTCCGATCATGCTGTTCGCCTCGAGATCTTGGACGAGATCTGGGTGTGCGCGGCCAAAATGGTAGAACCAGTTCAGACAGAAGTTGAGACAAGTGTTGTCCTTGTTCTCTCGGGCGGTGGAGATGGTCTCGAGCATTGTTGCCATTGCCTCCTTGTGGCAGCCAAAATCCGACTGTACGATTGCCAGGTTCATGAGGGCGTAGTGATAGAAGAGACGGTCGCGGTTTTGCATGGTGTAGTCGAAGTATCTGTGGAGGTAGTCAAACGCTGATGGATAGTCACCGGATCTCCAAGCATCCGAGAAGCTGTAAAAGTTAGCAGCTGGTCGCAAACTGCCGGGTTTTGGATACTGGGGGCTTACTTGAGATAATGGGATAGACTGGGAACGACGTGGCTGTCTCTCAGCATAGCATGGAACTTCGCCTTGATCTCTGCGGGTACTCTGGCACCATACTCTGCTTGTTGTTAGAAGGTAATTTCTTCCCTGCAAGTGACAAAGGCGTAACATACTCTGTATCTGGTCAATCTGGAACTCAAGGAGGCTCTCAACATCATCCGTGCTGACCGGTAGTGCGCCATCTTCTTCACCCATGAGCATACCACCGTATGCCGTCACAGCGATACCATCGGTGAACGACCCCCATTCATGTTGGCACTCCATCAATACTGAGTCGAAACTGAGTCTCCCGCACTGAGGATTCCGTCTCCTCCAGTAAGAAACCGTAGGCTGGCGGTACTTGACGAATGCCTTCCACAGCTCCGCCGAGTGATGAAACTGTAGCCTCGTGAACTCCAACACCGCTTTCCTCACGAAAGCCCCCAGGGGCGAATTACGAGCCAAAAGTATCCCGGATGGTGCTTCCTCTCCAAGCTCCGCCATCCGGCGCAGCTCCTCCCTGGTGCGCGCCAGCACTAGTGGCCGACGGGAGAAGAACTCTTGCAATGCATCGAGAGAATCGATGCCCCACAGTTTCTCCAGAAACCTGTCCCACAGACGACGGCCGGGCAGTCGATCTACCGCCGGAAAGGGAAGCAAGAGGTCCTCAAAATCTTTGACGGAAACGACAAGTCCGATGCTGCGCTCAGCTCTTTGCCACCGGTTTGCTGCGCCTGGGGCAGTAGATGTTGTGCTTTGCAAATCGCTGTCGAGGATGTGGGAGGTGAGGAAGCTCAGGACTGGAATGATCGCGTCGTTGGGTACCGCTTCTTCGACGTAAAGCTCAATTAGAGCGAGCAGGCCAATCTTGGCTGGTGTGAGATAGCGTGCCATGGTCGAATGCGAGAGACAGTGGATGAAGAGAACGACGGGCGCCGTGCCTCACCATGGGTGGGTAATCGAGGTTGAACCGACAAGACCGAAAAAAACGAAGTTGGCCTGTGAAAGCAAATGGTGTTGAATCACCGATTATCGAGTGTGTTTTGCATCGTGCGAAGTGAAGGTCAAATGGTGTACAGGGCCGCGGGCTCAAATGACAGATGAAGGAAGGACGTGCGATTCGAGGTTGACGAAGGGAGAAAGAGCGACGTGATTTTGCTTTCAATTCGAATCGCGCAAACAAATGGCCTAAACCTAAACAGATCGAATACCTCGCACATGTAATTCCATCCCACCTTCCTTTGTCAATAACAAGAGATAGAGCAGTTTGTTTATTGTATTGCGTGTTTGTTGTCCGGTATCAGATGGAAATCGCGAGAAGGACTACACGTTCACAGCTCTCGGTGTGCTTCGGTCAGGCGTGAGATAGTCAAGGTGAGCACGGGGTGGGAAAAGTACCCTAACCCTCCTTCCCCCCTTCTTCCTCTCACCACCACACAGGTCAAAACCAGCATCATGATCAAAACATGTGTAAAAATTCACAAGAAATTCGTAACTTTCTGGTCTCTGTTTTTATTTTGTCTCATGCAGTTTTGATTCGTAAATGATGTTTGTGGGTTATTGTCTTCGCATCTAGTTCATTCTACTCCGTTGGTGCCGTTCTGTAGTCGACTAGATGCATGGCCGAGTTCAGAGATCTTCTCCATGGTCAAGATCACCCACCTTGCATTTTGAGAAAACGAAGGAGAAGGAGAAAAACAGATGGAGTGGGCACTCACAGTAATCATTCAAGAAAAACGGATAAAGCTCGCGGTATTGGTTACCTGCAATGCCTGGAATGGTCAACGGCCGCACAACAAGACTTAGATAGGACGCAGTGAAAAAAGGCATTTACAACACCACTGCCTTATTTTATTTACTCCGAACACAAATTGTAAAGTGGACCAGAATGAGATTGAACAAGTCCAAAGTACCAATCTGCTTGATTGCCCTAACTAACGAACGTGGAGAACATTGCGTCCCGAGTTCGAGGACTACTTCCAAAGCTTGTCTGTATCCGATGCCCGCAAATGCTCCATGTCTGTGTAAAATGCGGCATCACAAAAGCAATAAACATTCCTGCAGCTTAAACCGCTGCGATTCAAGTCCCAACCAAATCCGTATGCTATGATGACCTCCCGAGATATCTCCCTCTACCAATGCGCATGCTCAAACTCACTCGTTGTCTGTCCTCCGGCTTAGAAATGTTGGCCTAGCCCCGAGACTGTTCGACAAGGCGCTGAACCATCCATCGCTAATATCAAACCCGCCGCGCCCTCTCTCAGGAGCTGACGCCGCAGCCCTTCCTTGTTCAACATCAGTGTTTCTCGCCGGGGAGTCAGATCTGAACATAATGTCTCCGGACCCAGAAGCCTCACCACCATCATCCTCCTCACTATCATCATCGCGGTATGGCTCGTAGCGCGGAGTAGACGAAGACCCTCGTGCCAAGGACCTGACGACATCGCCTTTGCAGATAGGGCATGTGCGGCGCCTAGTGGTGAGCCAGGGAGTTCTGTTCTTTTGTCAGTATGTCACGAATCTTTGATTCAGGGGCATCTGGGTTATGTCACTTACATGCATTCCGCATGGAACTCATGACCGCAGGGCAAGCTCATTACCCTGCTAACACCATCCACGTATTCCTCCAAGCAAATGGCACACTCCCTCTGCCGTCCCATGTACTTCTTCCACTGGCTAGCGCGAGTGGTTCCCTTCTCGTGAGCCGGCACCCTCGCCACTTGCAGGGCACTGTCCACTCTCAACAAGTCCGCGGGTTCAGGGACTCCTGTCGTTGTACGGGACCTTGGTCGAGATCTAGATGGCCCTTGGAGTAATGGCGTCGTAGGGGTTGAGGCACCGCTGGGAGATGGCACCCTCGACGATTGACTTGGCGAACGAGGAACGGTATGGTAAGTCCGTACCGGAAGACGTTCCACAACGGATTTCGGGGCTCTCCATCTCCGTCTACGGATTTTGGCGCGTAGTATAAGAAGAGCGTATACGACTGTCAAAGTAATAAGAGGGCTTATTACCAGAACAAGAAGGGTGTCAAAAAACGGACTGGCACCGCTTGTGGGTGTTATAGTAATCCATAAGCCTTCTCGATTTCCCGCCCGGTTGACTGCAGCTGGAGGCGAAGATGGTTTCTCGGCGTAGAAAGACGGTGCTTCATACGGAGGGAAATCTTCGCCGTCGTCATCACCAAATATCTTGGACATCAAACCACCCGAGGAACCTGAGGATGAATCGGAGTTCCGTTGTCCAGACTGCGAGCCCGCTAAGGCCTCGGGGTCGTATCGGCCACTGCCAGGAGTAATGCTGCCTCCTTGCGGTCCGTTCGCATCACTTTGGCTAGTCTTGCCGGGCTGCTTTGAGGAAGCACCGAAAGTACCAGCCTCTTGCTCATCATCGACGGAACTATCACCACCGTGGCGAACAGAGGAGGAAGACGAGGCTAAATCAGGGTCGCGCCAATCCTGAACTCCAATCTGGAAACCATCTTCACGGTTCCTGCCAGAGTCTGAAGCCAAGGCAGAGTCATCACCACTGCTCTTGGAAGCCTTGTCAAGACCGGTCTTGATCACTTTATCTTTTTCATCACTCCAGTCGTCCACTATGACCCAGTCCAAAGAACCACTGCTTGGAGGTCGGCTTTTGTCAGTTGCGCTGTCACTGCCGGGGCCCCAATGAAAGAGCCGCGAAAACCAGCTTCTGTGCGAAGGGCTGGATTCAGCACCACTATCTGCCACGCTTCCTTGGGGACCTGTCACCTTGGTCAACTGTCGTTTGGGGTTTGTTTCAGGCGTAGACCTGGCGTGCTTTGCGGACCATTTAGACGGTTTTCTTTTCTTGGTCTTGCCAGAATGCTGGGAGTTTGAAACCGGATAACCGCTCTCATCGAGAATATCTTGAAGGAAGCTTCCCGGTTGCATCAAGGAGGATAAGAGGTGGGCAGTAGTTCTAGAGGTGAAAACAGATGGGATAGTAACGTTATCAACATTACCGCGTGCGGACATTTGAATGAGTGGCCCGCCTTTCTGGTTGTCACCAACGATGAGTGCAATCGCCCCGCGCCGCTGTGCCCATTTGACCTTTTGGAGAAAACCACAACCGCCTCGGCTCAATAACACAATCTTGCCGGTTATCTCGGCTGTCTCTTGGATCGACTGGATATCTGCATGGCCTGAGCTCGAACTTGTGGGAGTGTCGACGAAAGCATCTTTATCTGTTCGGAATCCTTGGTGTAGGTAATCATCCGTCCCATCATCGACCACCATTTCCACGTCCAACTTGCTTGAGTGTGTTTTCGAGGTGGTCTTGTGATCAACTGCAGGACCGTCTACAATGTTGCTCCTCTTGAACTTTTTGTGATCGGACGTGGTACTGCCAGTCGTGTCTCCTGCTGGTGATTGTTTCGGCATCTTGAGAGACAGCCGGCCCGGCGCACCCTCCCACCCCACCACATCACTGCAGCCAAGCTCGCCTTCACCCTGACCATCTTGGAGATTGTCATCTGTAAACCCACTCCCCGCCCAAAGTTGCCCACTTAGCCCGTCTTTCGGGAGTGGTGGCCCAAATATCGCAGGCCGCGCCGGGAAAAAGGTGCTGTTGTCGTCAAAGAGACTGATGGCTGCATTGGGAGGAAACAGCGTAAAGGGCGCTCTAAACGAGAAGAAGGATCGCAGCCCGGACGTTTCAGGTGAAAGATGCGAAACTGCTGGGCTCGCACGGCGGGATGACGCTATGGAGCGACAAAAGAGGAACACCGAGGCGGAGAAGAAGAGGACCAATATGGCAACTCGTGGAGTGCGCATCGTGGGATCAGGAGCGGCTGATCACCGCGAACACCTAATATACGCCGTGGAACGCCTCCTAAAGCTGGCAGCCAAATCGATGTATCAAGTTGGTGGAGCGGGCGTTGCGATGCGCTCTGGGATCTTTAGTTTATAGCTGCTGCTCGAGCCGTCTGTGGCGGTGGGCCCGATCATTCGTATACACTATTATGTCGTCGGTGGCTCGAGTTGCGGGGATATCGTCGTTACTTGATTCGGAGGAAGATGATAGACGCTAATTGCGCAGGACGTAAGGGCAAAATCGTTGAGGAAAGGACGGGGAATGTAGTTCACGGTATCGAGTCGCAGGGGGGAAGAAACGGAGAGGAGGTTGAAGCTGGGGAGAAGGGGTGGAGGGGTTGAGGGAATCGAAGACGGGCAATAGCGGTTTGGAGTGCCGCGATTAATCACCGGTAGGGCCAAGCGCAGCGTGATGAGGTAGCGATGGACCATAGGGTGATAGGATGACAACCATCATCTGGCGAATCGAATGATTTCCAGGTTGGATCCGTCGGGACTATCCAGCGCTGGCGAGGTAGACGAGGGTGTGAAGGCTCACCCACTGGCCCCGACTTGAACGACGTTTGGTGGTTCTCGAGGTGGTCTTCTGTCAGGCCGGATTGGGCGACCAATTCCGTCACGTTCAGCGGACGGGTTTCGTGGGACCGTGGCACCTCATGCATGGGGGGACGCACCTCGGGCTCGGGCTCGGGCTGCCAGGTGCTGCTGCCAGATGCCCTCATAACCGGCTGGGCAGAACTTCAAAGGTTGGCAGGCAGGGCTGGGCCTCCCTCCCTGAGTTCGGGCTGAGTTGCCGTGCCACGATGCCCCTGGTGGGCACCAACTGGAGATTACAAGGGTCCAATTTTAACCTTGGCAGGCGGATATCACAGGGGTTCTCCCCAGATTTCCCGCCAAGACAGCGGGCCAGCACTCAAGGCACTCACTCAAACGGCTTCAAAGAGATCACACGAGCGCCCCTTTGGGTCTGTAAGAATTGCGGGCACACCCCTTTGTAAATCATGTGGATGAAAGAACGGGAGCCACTGATATTCCTTTTCCGGAAGACTCAACATGTACGCCCGCCGTTGAATATGATCTCAGGCTCAGCGCGTTTTTGTGTTCCCTAGTGACATGTGACATCTCCATAGCCAGACGTCGGGATGCTCGAGCTTTCTGACATGGGTTCCACAAATCGTTTGTTGTGGATGGTGTCGAGTTTTCCGGTCTTGCTTTTCTTAGGTACATCAACCTGATAACCTCTGGGAAGAACCCAGAGAAATCTCAACACTTTTCAACATACTCGAAAGTTGAGCAAAGGAGGAATCAAGATGTCTCAAGGGACTACAATACCGTCCTATGCCGAGAAATACCCGTTGGGGATTGGAGGTCAGTGCTCTGTCTGTTTCCCCAACTCTACTACATTATGACTGGGAAAGACATGTCATTCTCGATTCTGAGGTCTCCAATTCCCTTTTCACCAGAAATTCACAAAATGACTCGAGCGGTCACCAAATACTGAGGCCACCCGAATGTGAGCCATCTGTTGGTGAGTCTAGGATTGCCAAAAACTCGACGCTACGGTGGTACTTCCCATAGAGTGGAGGGAGCAGTGAAATTGGGAGGCATCGGCGTCCGTGAAAAGGTACCTCTCAAACACTTGTACGCGGGCTGACGGGTATAGTGGGGCCCGTGCGCGGGGAAATCTTTTGACTCATGGGCCCATGGCTCCCGGCCGGCCTAGTCCGTCTGCCCCTCCGAGGGGCGGCCGCAAAAGAAATTCCTGTCAGCCTGACGGCCCGCCTATAACGCTCAACCCTTCAGCTGCCCATTGACCCTTATCGTCCTCTGAATGCCGCTTTCGTTGTGGCGATTGGCAATTGGAAGCTCGAGAAGGCATTCATTGCTTAAAATCACGTCGACCCGCATACTTCCGGTTCCTCGACAGTATTCGACTTTCATCAACAACAACAAAGTCAACGTCAACATGGCGGGAGAAGACCAACCCGTTGCCGCGCCTGCCGCTGCGCCGGCTGCGCAGGATGCGCCCGGTGCCCCTGCCCCGAAGAAGAATGGTTCGTGAGCCTCGTGGAGCTGAACTTTCCCATGTGCACTCGTGATCACCCACTTACACCCGTTTCTTTGCTCTTGTAGACAAGAAGGAGAAGGCTAAGGCCGACAAGGCCGCCAAGTTCGCTGCTAAGCAGGCCGCCGCCAAAGCGAAGCAGCCCGCTGCTCAGTCCGCCGCCCCCAAGGAGAAGAAGGAGAAGACCCCTGCCCTGCCTCCTTACGAAGACAACACCCCCGCCGGCGAGAAGAAGGTCATCCAGTCTTTCGAGCACCCTCACTTCTCGGCATACAACCCCAGCGCCGTCGAGGCTGCCTGGTACCAATGGTGGGAGAAGGCCGGCTACTTCAAGCCTGAAAGCTGCAGGAAACCCTCGGCTGGCAAGTTCGTCATCCCTCTGCCACCTCCGAACGTTACCGGCGCTCTCCACTGCGGCCATGCTCTCGCCAACTCCCTGCAAGATACTTTGATCCGCTGGTACCGCATGAAGGGTTACGAGACCTTGTGGGTGCCCGGTTGCGACCATGCCGGTATTTCGACCCAGTCCGTCGTCGAGAAGATGCTTTGGAAGAAGGAGAAGAAGATTCGTCAAGAACTTGGCCGTGAGAAGTTCACAGACCTTGTCTGGGAGTGGAAGGGCGAATACCATCAACGTATCAACAACGCCCAGAAGCTTATGGGCGGTTCGATGGACTGGGACCGTGAGGCCTTCACCATGGATGAGAACCTTACCGCTGCCACCATGGAGACTTTCTGCCGTCTCCACGACGAGGGCCTCATCTACAGGTCCAACCGCTTGGTGAACTGGTGCACCCACTTGAACACCGCTCTCAGCGGTTTGGAGGTCGAGAACAAGGAGATTACCGGCCGTACCCTTCTTGATGTCCCCGGTTACGACAAGAAGGTTGAGTTCGGTGTCCTTACTCACTTCAAGTATCAGATTGACGGTTCCGAGGAGACGATCGAGGTTGCCACCACCCGTCCCGAGACCATGCTTGGCGATACCGGTATTGCCGTCAACCCCGAGGATCCTCGCTACACCCACCTTGTCGGCAAGTTCGCCCGCCACCCCTTCGTTGACCGCCTCCTTCCCATTGTCACCGACAGCTACGTCGACAAGGAGTTCGGTACCGGTGCTGTCAAGTTGACCCCGGCCCACGATTTCAACGATTACCAGCTTGGTCAGCGTCACAACCTCGAGTTCATCAACATTCTGAACGAGAACGGAACCCTCAACGACAATGCCGGCCCCTTCAAGGGACAGAAGCGCTTCGACGCCCGTTACACTGTTGTGGAGGAATTGACCAAGCTTGGACTCTTCGTCAAGAAGGAGCCCAACCCGATGAAGATTCCCCTTTGCGAGAAGTCCAAGGACGTCATTGAGCCCATGATGACCGAGCAATGGTGGGTTCGCATGAAGGAGATGGGTGAAGCCGCGCTCAAGGTTGTCGAGGAGGGCAAGGTCAAGATCTCCCCCGAGAGTGCTACCAAGTCCTACAAGAGATGGCTTGCCGATATCCAGGATTGGTGTATTTCTCGTCAGCTCTGGTGGGGCCACCGCATTCCTGCCTACCGCGTCATCTTTGAGGGCGAGGAGGGCCAACGTGAGAATGAGAAGTCCGAATGGGTGGTTGGCAGAACACAGGAGGAGGCTCAGGCAAAGGCTGAGGCCAAGTTCGCCGGCCGCAAGTTCACCCTTGAGCAGGATCCCGACTGTCTCGATACCTGGTTCAGCTCCGGACTTTGGCCTATGGCCACTCTTGGCTGGCCCAACACTGAGAACCTCGACTTCAAGAAGTTCTTCCCTACCAGCATGCTCGAGACCGGCTGGGATATTTTGTTCTTCTGGGTCAGCCGTATGATTATGCTCAGTCTCAAGATGACCGGAGAGGTGCCGTTCACCGAGGTGTACTGCCACAGTCTGATCCGTGATTCCGAGGGCAGGAAGATGAGCAAGTCTTTGGGCAACGTCATTGACCCTCTTGACATCATTCGCGGTATCGAACTCGAGGACCTCCACGCCAAGTTGCTGGTCGGTAACCTGAAGGAGGAAGAAGTCGCCAGAGCTACCAAGTACCAAAAGACTGCCTTCCCCAGCGGTATCCCCGAGTGCGGCGCGGACGCCATGCGTTTCACCCTTCTCTCTTACACCACTGGCGGTGGCGATATCAACTTCGACATCAAGGTTATGCACGCTTACCGCAGATTCTGCAACAAGATTTGGCAAGCCAGCAAGTACGTCCTTGGCAAGCTTCCTCAGGACTTTGTCCCCAAGGCTCAGCTTGACACCGCCAACCTCTCTGTTCCCGAGAAGTGGATCCTTCACCGCATGAACGTCGCCGTCAAGGGCATGAACGAGGCTCTTGAGGCCCGCGAGTTCTCCAGAGCCACCAAGGTGGCTTACCAGTTCTTCTATGACGAGCTCTGCGACGTCTTCATCGAGAACAGCAAGGGTATCCTCAGCGACGGTACCCCTGAGGAGCAGCAGAGCGTGCAGCAGACACTGTACCATGCCCTTGATGTGGCGCTGCGCCTTCTCCACCCGATCATGCCCTACGTCACTGAGGAGCTCTGGCAGCGTCTTCCTCGCAAGCAGGGCGATGGAGAGACCATCATGCTTGCTCCTTACCCTGCCTTCGAGTCTCAGCTCGAGTTCGCTACCGAAGCTGAGGACTATGAGCTTGGTCTCAAGTGCGCCGGCGGCATCCGCTCCCTGGCTGCCGACTACAACATCAAGTCGGATGGCAGCGCGTTCATCAAGGCTACTACTGCGGACAGCCTCGCCACTGTTAGTGCTCAGCTCGCCGCCATCAGGACACTTTGCGGCAAGGGCGTTAAGGAGGTCAACGTTTTGGGCGCCGATGAGGAGCTGCCAAGAGGCTGCGCCGTCTATGTCATCAATGCCGAGATCACCGTTCTTCTCCAGGTTGGCGATAACATCAGCGACATTGATGCCGAGATCAAGAAGATCACCACCAAGTTGCAGAAGACTGATCTCGCCATCAAGAAGCAACAAGAGCTGCTGTCTAAGGATGGTTTCGAGAAGGTCAGCGAGGCTGTCCAGGAGTCGGAGAAGCAGAAGCTGGCCGATGCTCAGGCGGCAAAGGAGAACTATCAGCGCACCCTGGAAGAGTTCAGCAAGCTGAAGATTTAAACGTGGGATTTTGGAGTTAGCATCTGTTTGAGCATCTAGCACGGTCCTTGAGTGTCCGAACAATGCTTGGAGCGTTTAGAAAAGTTGTAGCTAGTTTCTCATTATAAAACGGCATCTTTCGGAACATCAAATGTCTGTGTCCAGCTCCATCTGCATTGACTAGAAAGCTTTAAGTGATAAGGATATTTGTAGAGCGTAAAGGCTTGATGAGCTCTTGCTTCTTAATTCACACGTGCAAGTATTTGTCTTGTCCTGCTTGTTTCTTGAATATAGATTGTCCTGTTCTCCCCAAGGTTACTGTCATCTCCTGAGGGTTATCTGCAGATGTAATCATTCTTTACAAGTTTAGTACAGTGTCATGATAGCGTCCACAGCCCTACGGCCAGGAGCAACAAGATATCTTGTAGAATTGATGCTTCGCTGTTTGCTTCATCGTTGCAGTGCCGCCATGAGGTTTGGATGACTGAAGTCTCGAGTGGGCCTGCCCGGCATGGAAATTGTGGGTCCGCTAAAAGGGACGGGTGGAACGCTGCAGTGCAGTTACGCCCAACCTGTGACTTACAAGCCACAATTTCCAGCCACAAGTGGCGGGGGACGCGGCAGCCCTAAGCGGGAAATCTGGCTGCCGCACATTCCCAAAATTTCGCGATCCTAGACTTGAGAGAATCATCCAACTCACGACAACGCTCCGCCCGGTGACGACGACGAAGGTATTTCCGCTCCACCCCCAACAGTCGGTCCCTTACGGTCATACTGATTTTGTTCGAATACAGCAACCGCCAAAATGAGTAGGTTTTCCCTGATCCTGCAGACACACGACGTATCCCGATACCATTTTTGATCGACCCCTCGCCAACGCCCGAATTGACGATCCGGTCGAAATGTTGCACTGAGCGACTGTAAACTGGACGACATACGGCTCGAAGACGAAATTATGCACGACAACTTCGCGAGGATACGATATGGTTGGAACACGATGGGCTGACACGGTCGCAAACAGCTAAGGGAACTTCGAGCTTTGGCAAGCGGTATGTTGAGGACCCATACGGCTCGGCTACACTGTCGGATAAGGGTAACTGACTTTCCAAACAGCCACACCAAGACCCACGGTCTTTGCAGACGTTGCGGGTAAGTCGACACGAATCCGAATCCGATTGAAGAAGGAGAACACATGGGTCGACGATCGCGAAGATAAACGAGAACCGCCGACGACGTCCTCCCGCTACAACAGAACAAGAAATTGACATTCGATTCACCAGTCGCCGTTCGCTCCACAACCAGAAGAAGGTCTGCGCTTCTTGCGGCTACCCTGCCGCCAAGACCCGCAAGTGTACGTTGGACTCTATTATCCTCGAGGGGGGGGCCTACCTGAGAGGTTCCCCCTGGATCTTGGGCGCAAGTGTCAGGATGCTGACATCAGGGTTTGCAATACAGACAACTGGTCTGAGAAGGCTAAGCGCAGAAAGACCACCGGCACTGGTCGCCTCCGTTACCTCAGCACCGTCTCTCGCAAGTTCAAGAACGGCTTCCAGACCGGTGTCCCCAAGGGCTCCAAGCCCGTCGCTGCTTAAACGAGCGAACTGGGTTGGATTTTCTGTTCTCTCGGGTCGATTAACGTGAACTGGCGGCGGCGAAGCGGGACAAATGGGACGGGATCGTTTTCTTCGGCGGGTGCGGTGTAACCAGGGACTGGGATTATCTACGGATCGGACCTAAACTCGCTTTTTGCTGCTGCTACATCACATCAACGGGCAAAAGGTGCATGAGGTTTCATTTTGCGCGCGCGCGGGAACTCGGTCTTCAAAAGCATTCTTGACATGCAAGGAGCAAACATGGTCATGAGATACAATGGCGTAACGTCTTTTTGCTGAGCGGAAACAGCAAAGTCTCCCCGCGGACAAGCAAGCTCTCAAGCTTGGTGATGGGCTGAGTGTCGCCCGGTCGAGCAGGTTTTACTACTCTACAATTCCAGTTCCGTTATTCACCCGAGCATTCGGAACATTTGGGAGAGCTACGAATATCGAATATGACGTGATGTGTGATGGTTATCATTTCAATGCTAGGAATCTAATGTTTACCAGTTATTTACTGCCCCCTTTCAAAGACCCGAACGCCACCATCTCCTCCGACATGATACAGATACTCCTTTTCCTCGATCTGCCTCTCGCCGCAACAGTCTCCGCCACGCGTAATCCTGACCACACCACTCACATCCTTCGCGATGCCAGTATCAAGAAGTCTAAGACTAACAATCATCTCTGCCTCATGCGCCAACGACAAAACGAAGGAGGCGTGGTCCTTTTCCAGCGTGGTAGCCTGCGAAGCGATCAATGGGTCGTCGGCAGACAAAGTGAGGATCGTAGCATGTGATTTCTAACATGATTCATCATCAGTGTCCATCTCGTATTGCACAGATATCTCTCCCTGTGGAACGACTTACCTCTCTGAGATCCAACAACAAGTCCTTCAACGCCGATGAAACCGACCCAATCCCATCCGACGTAGCAGCCAGCAAAAAGTCAAGCTGGTCAATAACCAGCACAACCTTCTTGTTCTTCTGGCACAGCTCATCCAGAGCAGAGTGTAGCGTCTTGCTCACATCTGCCACCGCCAAGCTGGGAAGAGAGCGCTTCCACTTTTCTCCTCCTCCGGCCGGCCCTTGTGACGAAGACGATCCCCCGGCTGTTGCCGGAGCAGGTCGTGCTGCTGGTGGTGGTCCACGTCCTGGCACTGCTCCTCCTCCTACTGCTCCTCCAACCGAAGGCACAGGAGGTCTTCTCACCGGCAGCCCACCACCACCAGCACCCTCCCCATCAGAACCAGAACCAGAACCAGAACCACCCCCGCCACAGCAAAGCCCATCAACAAACCCCAACTTCCCCCTCCTCCCCAAGCCCTCCAAATCCAGTCCAAGCCTTCCCGCGCTCTCCTTCCAAAACGCAAAGTCGCGGAGGAAGCTCACCAGCAGTACTCCCACACTTTCATCACCTTCCTCGTTATCTCCATTTTGTGCGGGAGTTGTTGGAGTGGCACGTAGCTCCAATTCCGGCTCAGCAGCTACCGGGATCCGGAGGCCTAGACGTCTTTGGCCTTGGGGCTGTGGTTGTGGTCGTTGTGTTTGTGAAGACTTGGATTTGAGCAAGGTGTAAAGGTAGCGGAGGAGGAGCCAGTTGGTGTTGGCGCCGAGGATGCCTGTTAGGAGGATTTGGGATTGGGATTGGGACGGCTGAATCGCGAGGTAAGGTTCTAGGAGAGGGGGGATGTTTCTGGATGTCATTTTTTTGAGGTTGGGGTTGACGTTGCCCTAAGTACGGAAGTAGTGACTTGGCGACTTTGCCGGTTTGGAGGTGTATATGAACCGAGTAGAGAAAGGTCTGGTTATTTGTAAGGATGAGCTGTATACCTCTATTGGAGGAAAAGTGTGGTGGTGTGGTTGAGCTTGTTGAAGGGATGTGGTCAGCCCGGGATGGGATCGAAACGACTGCTGTATTCCGAGTTCGAGGACAAACAAAAAAAGGTATGAGACGGAACTAAGGTGAAATGGAATCCGTTGCCCAAAGAGTTGTACAATGGCAGTAAGTGAGGTCGAGGAAGGTGAGCCTCGTGAGCTTGTGTAACGGGACCTGTGATGCAATTGATAGTGGGGTTCACTAGGGAAGGAAAAAGGAGAGAAAATAGAGGGGTCGTTACTAGCACACAGTACGCATGTCACGTTGTTGTGGTGTTTGTTACTGTACCCATTTCTTCAACACACTCCTTACGCTTCTTGTTAAAGAACTTTGACCGACAACTTCAAACCTTTTGTGCCATGCTGAGAAACAATCACTAAAGTAGCACAATTTTGGCGTCACACAAGCAAACCCAAAAGTCACGGAGTTAAGGATCCCATCTAGATGTCGAGTTGATGATGCCAATAAACTGTTATATGCAAACGCTACTAAAATGGTATCATGCAAAATCCGTACAAGTATCCCAAGTCAATGCACCAAACAACTCCCCTCCTAACATAATCATTAATCATACTCATGGTCATACTCATGGTTAACCTCACTAATCAGTGACAGATTACCGCTATCAAGGCCTCCAAAAGTCTACCTTGACAATGGCCCTCAAGTGTATTTGACTTTACGGAAGTTCACCTAGAACTTCTCCATAAAGTTCTTCCGGACCGTCCACATCCTCGCTCTCTTTCCGTAGATGTACATCGGAATAGTTAAAAAGAGCAGGATAAGTTGGATGATTCCGATCCAGATAAACACAGTCTTGGGTCCGTCGGCCGTGAGCCAGCCGGTCACAAACAAGCTGAAGACGAGGCCGTGGAAGATGTTCTTGCTGAAGTTGAGCGTGACCAGTGCCTCACCCGCATACTGTCTGTAGCTGTCGACGCAGAAGGTGATGCTGGTTGTTGAGCCAAGCGAGCATCCGAACGAGACAACACCGAAAAAAACGGTCGGCACGATCCACTGGTCACCCAACTGCGCGGACCAGCCAAAACCCATCAAGCCGATGACCGTGGTAATGGCTACAGGCAGAGCCATGACAAGTCTGAACTCTGGCTCATAGAGGCCACCATTGCGCCTGGCCATCGCCTTCACAATGACATCCGATACCTTGCCCGCCACAGCCGTGCCCAGGATACCACCGACAAATGGGCTGATGTAGACCAAACCCGTCTGCAGGGCATTGAATTTGTAGTGGCCTTCGCGGTAGATGACAGCTACAGACTCGGATATCACAATAAGCCATCCGACTGAGCAGGAATAGACGATGGCTGACCAGAGGACGGCTGGATAGGAGAAAAGAATGAGCGGCCGGATGGCTACTTTGTGCCATTTGTCTTTGTTCAGGCGACCATGGAAAGGCTTGAGCTGCTGCTGGACAAACGATTTTGCCGGCTGGTCACGCAGGGCCGCAGTATAGGGAACTCTGCCACCTACCATGCGGGAGCTAGCCACTGATTGGGACTCGACATCCGTTTCAGTGTGGTCTTGTCCGGCAGGCCTATCCGGAAAGTAAGGCGACTTGGGCTTCTCGATGTTGTCGGACATGTAGGAAACATGGGGCTTTGTCGAGGTATCAGAGGATGAAGGTGCCTGAATGACAAGCCCGGGGCGTGTAACATGGCTATCCTCTGCAACGATACGTGCTGTCATGGGAACACTTGAGCCCTGGAGCTCGTCAGGTTTCTCAGAAGTTTCCTGTAGCGCCGCGGCCTCCGCGTCCTTTTCCGTATGATGCTGTTCGGTTTCGGTAGCGAATCCGACATGAACGTTCCGGCGATGGTTAGGCGCTGGTGCTGGTGTCGGGCCTTCCTCACTATGGCGAGCGCTGGGTGGCACACTAACGGCTGCGGCGTCCGAACGCCGAATATGCTGTTTCGAGGACATCCGGCGGAAGAAGTTTGGCCTAGATGACTTTTTCCTCGGATGGGGCACTCTGTCCCAGAATGTCTCGGGGACAAACAGGAACAGCAGAAAGCCGCAGAAACCAACAACAATAGCAACAACCCTAAATAGACTTGTTAGACTTCAAATCACTTGAGACCGACGTTGAGAACGAGAAACTCACCAGAACGTCCAGCGCCATCCCAGTCTCTCGATCACGGCAGCGCTGACCAAAGGAACCAAGTTCTTTCCGCCGAGAAGCAACAGCGTATAAATGCCGAGTCGGTAAGCTCGCTCGTGGAGGAAGAAGATCTCGGCAACAGTGGCGGACGGAAGGCATTCAACCGGACTGACAGCGATGCCCTGAAAGATTCTTCCAAGAACCAAAGACACAAAGCTTTTTGAAACGGCGCACCATACTGATGTTACGACAAACAACAGAGCCCCAAAGAGGTACACTGGCCTTTTACCGTACAGAATAGCTGTAGGCGAGAAGACCACCGAGCCAAGACCCATACCCATCATGTAGAGGCCTGTCGTAAGTGATACGCTCGAGACGCTGACATCAAACTCATTGGCGACATCCGTGAAGCCAGCAGCAAGGAGAGGGGTCATGCCGCCGCCCACCATGCAAAAGAGGCCCAAGGAGAGCAGGGCGGAATCTCTGCGCCATGTTGGCCAGTTGAGGGGGTCGTTGGCAGATTCTTCTGGTTGAGGGTCGAGAATGATCTTGCCGTCACTCGTTTTTTTCTTCTCGAGAACGTCCTGTGGGGGTTCTGGGGGCCGAATAACGGCGGTTGGGATTGATGAATGGGAAGTTCGTGCAGGTGCGTTCCGTAAGCCAAGGGGCTCATTGTGGTCCGCCGCTAATAACAGGACCGAACCTGAGAGGAAGTTAGTACTAATGTAGATGCAGAACGATGCTCCTGGGTAGATTTTACCTGGTACTTCAATGGTCTCTCTATCGTTCAGAATGCCCATATTCCATTTTGGTAGTCTTTTTCTCCCTGTGGTCTCCTCGTTGTCCTGCTCCCTGGTCGAACTTGGTCCAAACAACCGCCATCCGCCTTTTTGCGGTGCGGTGCCCGCTTCAGGATCGGGAGCCATTGCTTCGAATTCCTGGGGTCTTTTTCGTATCTGGCTAGACCGTAGCTTTTGCTGAGGAAGATTGGATGATACTCGGAAGGATTGCGGGCGTATTACCGCGGAAATTGTGGTTGCCGGTGAATATAGGAGACGTCAAGATCCAGAGATGATGATAATGACCACGTTTATTTTTCTGTCTTATCAAAAAAAGAAGGATGCAAGTAAATATGCAAGGCAGATAGTATGAGACAAATATGAATGAGGTATGTGTGGAGGGTAAGGGAAAGATGACAGCATGCAGGAAAGAGGGAGACGGAGTTCAAGTAGTCAAGTCATGAACCGTCGATCTCCAAGGGCCGGACTTTGTCAAGGCCGTGCTAGTCGAACTGGCTCTCTGGTTGGCAACTCTCCTTCCTCAACAGGCATTAAAAATCGTACAAATAGGAAACAGGAAAGAGGGCACGCCCAGATGAAACGAAAAGAGGAGAAGGGGTCAAGGGAGCACAGGAAGCGGCGGTTGTTGAGAATAGCTGCATGCTTTTTCGCTCTTGGAATTGCTTGGGTGCGAGTAGTGCCTTCCACTTGGGTGCATCTTTGGTATCAATGGGTGTCCACTAAACACGCTAAACACACCAGCGCGTGGGTCGAACCCATGCTGTAGACGACCCTGCCGTGAGAGTTTGACTCTGCCCCGGGAGGTTCCTCAAAACGCGCCGCCGAGGTCTGCCAAGCCCCCGGCCAAGGTGGCCTTTTGACGGAAAATGGGAGGAACGACCAAGGCATCGGGTCATGTTGAAAGAAGAATGATCCACAACTCTACAGTACCTTTTTGTCGCTTGCTTCGACTCGTTGTGCTGAGCCAGAGCGGTCGTCAGGTGGACCATGTTGGGCGGGAACCTCAAGGCAGGGAAGACGGTCGACGAGGGGTTTCTTGCTTCAGTTGCCTCCAATGGGCATCATGTTTGGTCTCACGTCGAGCTGCTGTCCTGAGAGGTTCTCAGGCCATCATCTTGGGAGTCCAGGGAGTCCCGAGACTAGTGATCAGGCAAACCGACCTGGCAGACAAGGCCGACGCAAAAGGGCAAAGGATCGGCGATCAAGGGTACGAACCGACGTCCAGACAAGGACGATTCGCAAAGATGGAGCGAGAGTTTTGTGTCTATCGTCCTGCCGTCCTCCTTGACTCCGGCCCCGTGTGCGAGCACCCGATGATCAAGGGCCAGGATGTAAAGGTTGCTTCGCATTAGCTTACCTTCCGAGTCGTGACAATCGCTGAATGAGTTTATTCTGGATATACAATGTCGTCTTATCGCGTCCAAGTTGTTGGATGGTCGCAAAATGGCCGCAACTGACAAACGGTCACGTTAGGTCGCACCTAGTCGCACCAGCTCACACCATTTCCGAACAGAGACCCTCCCATGTTCCCCCGCACTACAGTTCGGGTATCCGCAGCCAAATGCGCCAGAGATGCGGAGCTAGCAGCGTTGTAGCGACGTTGTAGGCGCAGATCCTCGGCGCCGAACCCTTTGAGGTTATCGACACAGACAAAGCCCGAGGGCCTAAGCTCTTTCGGAAGGAGCCCTCCGCCCGGGGTCGACGACGGTCTGGCGCGGCGCATCTCTGACTGCCCTCTGTGTGCTCGGATGTCCCCCGAGTCACTGCGGTTACAGATTCATCTCAAGTCTCTCGCAAGTCTCAACACTGTCCGCGCAAGTGACAAACTCAATGCTCGTGGATGGAATGTTCTCTACAGTACCGTCTCGCCGGTTATCTCGGCCTCGCTTCCACTCAGCTGGACACCACCTCGAAAAGACCAGAATGCTCACTTGCCCGGTTGCCGGCGCTCACATGTTCATGACCGGGAAGTGGATTGGTGTGGTGCCATTCAAGAGATCTCCATGGCTTGCAGCACCCCTGCAAAGAAACAAAAGGCGGACCCTCACCCCGTTGGTCCCCTAAAAAGCAGAGAGACGAGGGCTTAGATGCGTTATGACGCAACCAATCTGACTTTCTCACACTGCGAGATCCTTGGCGCTCCTCACCTCTATCTCTTAGCTCCGTCTTTTTGTGATAGCGCCGGTGTGAATGGTGACCACCAAATTCCCAGACAGTCTCCAGTTCACCATCGCATCCATTACGCTCTTCCCTTTCTGATCTCGATTAGCTTGCGCCCGACACCATCACACCATCATTGCCGGTAAAAACGACCGCAGAAGTGCCGTCCAATTGAGACCCCAGACAGCCGAAAAGAGCCGCAAGCTGTCGACCATGCATTTCCTCTTTTCCTCTGGCAGACAGGCCGGCCGCCTGCTCCGCAAAACCCCAGCAGGAGCGGCAGTGACCTGCAACCAATTTGCTTCGGGTGCTGCGTTGTTCTCGACCTCACGCGCAGTTGCGGCCAAAAACCAAATCTACCAGTCGTGTGTACATCCATCATAGCGTCGCCCTCTCTTGATGCTCCCGCAAGGTCACTAACGCCTGTTCTTCTTCATAGTGTTCGTAACCTCGACCAGTTCCATACTTACCAGCTTCTCTCGTCCTCCTCTCGAACGCCGCTGTTGACGCTGTGGACCACCTCCTATTGCCCTACATGCCGAGTAGTGGAGCCCTTGTTGCGCGAGCTCGTCGAAAGCGGAGTCGGTGAAGAAGAGGGCGGCGTTGGCTTTTGCACCGTCGAGTACGATGCGCCTGATGTTATGGGAGCTGGACTGGGCCTTACCTATATGATCAACTCGGTCCCGACCCTGCTGAGTTTTGATGCCCAGGAGGCGCAGACACAAACCAAGGTCACGGATGGTCGCCAATTGGCCAATCGCAAGTTCTTGGAGGAATGGTGCGCCGACTCTATGGTCGCTGTAAAACCCTTGCTGTCTGGAGGCTAACTTGACTTTACTACAGGATCAGAAACGAGGCGAAACGGCATGGAAATCGCGGAGGAGGCGGGTCTCCTACCAGCATATTCAGCGGCCTCTTTGGCAAACTGAAATAGTATCCCAGCAAATCACCAATGGCAAGTTTCTGCCGAGGCAGATCACAGCGCACATCGGAACTGCACATAATGATCGTCGGTCGATGCACACAACTTCCCCGCAAATTAAGCTTCGGTCGAGTTGAGCGGCTCCAAAGCACTCGACGACTGCCCTATAGTGGTAAACTGGTCTACATACCGGAATTAACTTCTTGGCCGTATTTGTTCCCGACGCAACTAATAGCTCGACTCCGTTGATCAGATTCACATGTCACCTTCAAAGGGCATATGTCGAATAGGCGGGAATACCCGCTCGTACCATTAGATTTGCGCCGATGGAAAACAGAAACCGATCAAGAGAACCGCGAATGAAAAGTACAGTAACTCCCAAGACGTCCTCATGCCTGGTAAAAGACCTCCTCGACGGGTTTCCACCACGACGGCTCTCCCGACTCGCTGTTCTTTGCTCCCGGGACCATGGACTCCTGGAATCCATCCGTCATCTTCCACCACTCCCGAACCTTGGGGCTCTCGCGCATTTTCCCCATATCGCCTTCATAGTCGTAGCCGACATACTTGAAGCTGGCAAAGAGGATGCCTGTGCCGGGGTCGTGGAAGATGCTGTCTGTACACATCGAACTGGTTAGCCATGGTGATCAAAAGCAGGAGATTGCTGATTCTCGTTTCAGTACGAAAGAGGGATGACGTACAGTCTTGAATGTTGCACTCCTTGATCTGCTTCGCAACCTCGGGCCATATAGCAGCGTGGACCTCCTTGTACTTGTCGATGTACTCGGGCTTCAGCTTAACGATTTGCCCAAAGCGCCGGCCCGGATAGCGTATCCTTCCATCGGCGTTGGAGGCTGAGAAGACCGAGGAGACTGTGCTGGTCGACTGGCTCCTTTCTCTAGGCGACCAGAGCTTCGGCGCTCCAGGGTTCCAGAGGCCTGGTTCGGCCTCCTTGGGAGGGGCCCACAACGATTGCCGCCGGGCTGCCATTGTACGTGATGTTTGCTTAGACAAGTGGTGATGCTGTTGGTTGTTGTTGGAGGACGAAGTGCTCAGAGGAAGGATTGTGGGAGGAGGGACTGCCGACCGCTTTCCAACAAGAGGGTGGGAGGATGGGGTCCTTGTAAGTCCCGTATCTGCGCCCTTGTAACACCCTTCCTGATTGGCGACCGCAGTGCCGGTATCGAAGCCGGTTAACGCAGAGCTCGGGGCTTGTTCAGCTCGGCGCAGCTTGGGCCGAGACCTGGCTTCTTATCGTGTCCGTATTGGGAACCAGTCCTGTTTCTCGACGACTTGCGCTTGAGGTAGGAATTTCTCGTCGCTCAACCTTGACAGCAACGAAGTTCTCCGTTCAGGCTATGTGACTCTTTTATATCTTGAGATCCGATAGCGCCACCAGGCGTTGATCACACCGGGTAAGAAAACAAGGAACAACAGTGATGTGCAACTGGTGCAACTGCGTGGCAGGGCGGGCGGCGGGTGGCAGGTTACAGCTAAGCTGTGATGGGTGCGCTTTCCGGTTGCTGATAGTCTCGTGTATCGGACACTGTCACCGTCCAGTGGGAGATGAGTATCCCAGTGTTTCGTTTGGCAAGAAGTTGAGTGGAGGAGAACGCGTGGGGGTTGTAATTATAAAAGACTGAGGAAGATGAAAAGGAAAGGGAAAAAAAACACCAGAGCTAAGGTACTATATGTCGGGCAAACTTGCCACTTTAAGCGGGCACGCTTCCATGCACTCCATTCATGCCAGGGCTGCGAGCCTTGGTCCTACTTCTACTTGCATACCTCTACCTACAAACTGACAAACCTGGGGTCACCGGACCGACAAATGCACCTCTTTTCTTTTTCTCTTCCTCAGCTATATGCATGTATGTATGTATATATGTTGGTTCATTATGCAATACCTATGTATCCCCTCAGTCCCCCAACCGAGCGGACTGTTTCACAAATGTAGTTTATCATCCTCGGGGCGCCCGGAATGAACAAAAAATTGAGATTGAGACTTATTGCTAGATCTGGTATCACTAGGGATCGATAGTTTCTGAAAAAATGGCATTTTTTCCGAAAATTTCATTCTTTTTACTAGCCCGTGCCCTCTCCCCTCCTCCCTCCTCCCTCCTCCCTCCTCCCTCCTCCCCCAACCTACTTTCTAGTATTCTAACGAACTTCCTCGAATCCTCTTACAACCAGCGATAACCTAATAATTAAATTACTATGCCCCCGGTTTATAACTCTAGAAACGAGGCTATCGCCGCCCAATTCGAATTTATCGAAGACCCTAGTCGTGTAATTCCCATTGCACAATATATTTACTATAATAACCGCTAAACTAATATTATTACCCGTTTACGTAACTACTTTAACGAATATAAAGTATATCGCCTTTACGAAGTTCGCTAGCAAATTGAAAATTGTAATAATATTTACTACTACGCGATCTAATTTAATAGCTTTTAGAAGAAGAAGATCGACTAGTACGTAATTAAAATAATACTATTAAATAAGCGCCCTTTCAACCTATTTGAAAGCTCCCCTATACGGGTTTTTCTATATTCTATCGTACTTATTTATACCCTTTCTAACGCTACTATTATAATTAATAAATAGTTTTCCCTCATTTGTAGGCAAATAAAGGCATAAATTATTAATTAATATATTTATACTACTTCTTATATTAATATTTACTTTAATAAGTCTAATAATTACGCTAACCGTCGTATTATTAATATCTCCTTTATTCCCGCTAGCGGAACTATATTCTTCTAAATTAACCGCTATATTAAAGTAATCGAATATACTACTATAAACCTCGCCGGCATTATTTTAAACGTTTATAACGAAATAATTAATAACCTCGCTAAAATTAATAATTTTATTACCAATATATATACTTGTACCCGGCGTATAATATTCGAATTTACTTAAGACTAGTTTAGAACATCCTTTATAATACTAGACGATTTATATTCGTTATAATTATTAATAAAAGATTTAATTACTATTGAACCCTTTAAATTACTCGCCCAATAGACCGTAATTATCGTCAACTTCTTTTACACTTCTAAATTATAATTTACCCGCCTCTGCAAATTTATATTTATATATTATAGTAAACTCATTACTATTTTAACAAAATAAATTAAAGTTAATCCTTTTATTATTTCTTTTATACAATAAATTAATTAAATTAATATAATTACCTAATAAATGTTATAATACCAATCTATATAATCGATCTAACGTATTGAAATAATATTATAAACTTTTACTCGATAAGCACACTTCAATAATAATTAATAGAATAAATTACCCTACGTTGCTACTAAAAGAAGATGAGGCGGGGACGAACCTATTTAATTTTAATCTATATTCGAAATTATTAAGAATATACAATATTAATATAGTTTCAATACCCTCGCGAAATTTATAACGCCGGTTTATAAAGCCTAATTAATATTAAAAGCGGATAAATCTTACGTTAATTATATTATCTATCGTTAAATTACTATTTATATTATTTAAGATTAAAATAAAATATCTCTCTAATAATATAACAATTGATATTAAAAAGAATTAATAAAGTTATATATATTATATAAAATCAAGTAATTAACCCAATTAAATTAGTTAGGCTTCCTTTTATACCCTAAAATTATAGTTGAAAAATTGGCCGCCATTTACCCTCCTACTCCTAAAATTACTGGTACAATCTTAAATTCATTAAACAATATACCTATACGCTACCCAATATTATAAACAAATAGCTCCTAAATAACTTCCTATCTTTCAAAGTTCGTAAAAGTCTCTACGCCCTTAATCGAAATATTTAGACCTAATATAACCTCAATCCTAAAAAATAATAGAATATAATATTAAATAGCGGCTCTATTATTACTCCTCTCGCTATAAGGGTATTCAATACGTCCGCTAACAATATACTATATAAACGAGCCTTTTCTATTATAAATTTTCTAGAAAATCCCAAGCGCAACCGCCTTACCGCCAATAAAATAAATATAATTACCTTCGTCTACATAAATAGCAAGAAACTTAAAAACCTTCACCAATCGTTTACCGGCCTTATTATACCCTAAAGAGACGAACTACTATTGCAAATCGAGGAACAGCTATAAAATTACATACAAGAAGGTAATTAAAATAATAGGAAAGAGGAAAAAGAAGCCAGAAAATAAGAGAGGAGGCTATTTAAATAGGGGAAATAATTATTAATACACAGATTTACACCAGAAATGCCATAAATACAGTAATCAACGTAAACACCAGACCCAGCATTTATCACTAGATTAATTGATTTGAGCTCGATTTCGTCGATTTTGCTAATTTGAGCCAATTTATATAGCTAGTCTGACCGTAAAAAACGATATTTCAGTCACGTGGTCTGAAAATATGGAAAGGAAGGCCATTTTTTCAGAAAGTTTCATGAAATTTAATTTCGAATCGACCCCTAGGTATCACTGTATCACCCCGCTTTATCTTCTCCCGTCCTTCTTCAGCTTACTAACATACTTAGCTTCGAACATAACCATTTTATATACCCACCCCGTTCTACCACCACCCGTGTCCGAAGGATCATGAAAAACAAATTCCATAGAAACCAACCACACGTCTTCTGAGCCGCTAGGACCAACCATTATTACTGTACCAAGCCGGTGATTGACACTTTCAGGGGATCCGGGCTCTGGTTTCTGTAGTTCTGTAAATGGTTCCTTCAACAAGGGGGTAGATATACGTACGCCGTATATGAAAACACCCTCGGCAGCTCCACACCATTACAAATTGACTTTTTGGGGAAGTCCAGACCTTTTTCCTCTTTTTTTATTTTTTATTTTTTAACACAATTACAAATCCTCCGCAAATTCTGATCGATTCTGATTCATCGTACAATTTCCCCTTGCGTTTTGTTTTGACTTTGTTGTCCGCGTGATACTACCTGGGACATACCGTTCGTTGTATGCGAGAGCGAAATCGGCATGGAGGAAATTCTTGGGAGGAGTTAACGGATTTAAGCCTCATCTCCAGCTTCGACCTTCATCCTCCACCTTCTCAAGTAGTGAACGGGCCTGGTCTTCCCAACTTCCGTACATGAGAGTGAGTAAGTAAGTAGATAATATGATCAGCAAGCAAGTCAGCGGCGAGATGGGAGAACGAGAGAACAACGAAAAACGGAACTCCGTAGGCGAGGGAGGACAACTCAACGCCTGCATATCTTAGCGCAGGTGCGAGGTGGTGCGTTTAGCCTTTAGACTACACATTGCGCTAGAGAGAGCTTGGTTAAGCGCGGAGTTATAGGAGGCTCGGGGAGGTGTTAGGGCCCGTTTGGTTCAACTAGTCTCAGACCTCAAACCTACTGGACCTCCGAAATGCGCCCGCCCGCCCTACCCCCCTATACTACCTACCAATTAACGGACGGGCATATTTTTCTACAGTAGTAGGTCTGAACTAACTTTAAACGTTTTAGCCGTTAATTAAAGTTATAATTCTAATTAGAGCGAAGTCTACTAAGTTGCAATATTTTATTCGCCCGATTCGATTTACTACTTATTTTAAGAATCGCCCCTTCCGGTTTTACCTAATAATTATTTAACGTTCGCGCCCAATTCGCCTAATTTTATATCCGAATTTTCTAAATTCTAAATTAATTTAATTACACTGGTATATTTGATACCCCGTACTATTTTAGACCCTATAATTTCTAATTTAACCCTTTACTTAATTCTATTTCCTCTATCGAATCTAACCCTTTACCTATTTCCGTCTCCTCTATCGAATCTGATTAATCCCGAATTTTAAAATAGGTTGAATTCGGGTATTTATAATCCGGATTAATACTTCGCTCGTATTATTTAGGAACATTAGGCCCGCTTTAACTCTAAGAGGGAAATATTAAAGTAATTTATTTATAATTAGGTAAAGGTAATTCGAAGCGATGATCGGTTATCTGGATCTTATATTAAGCAATTTGTTAAATCGTTACGAAATTAGGATATATACGAAGTTTTCGATCGCTATAGTATTATAATATAGTTTTGCGACGAGGATTACTTATATAATATAGAGAATTTCTATTAGGAATTTACTTTTCTCTTTAAATACTTTAAATTATTTTCGTCTTTTATGAAATTTAACGCTTCCTCTATTTTAGGTAATAGTAGGCAATATAATATTAACAATTTATATAATACTAAATAGGTTATATTAATTATAAACGGGTACGTTACCGACTTATTAAAGTATACGCTTTAAATATACTTTCTCTTTTAGAGCTTAATAAAATATATTTATATATATTAATTGTCCT